CCCCCCCCCCCCTCCCTGGGCTTAACATAAATCTATTACAAAAGACTGATAACAGTATTGTATTATTGATCAACATACATTTTGTAACAGATAGTGGCAGGTGAGTGTATCAATATCAACAAAGTCTGTTCCGTAAATTGTGAGAAGATTTCCCAGGGAAGGCAGGTTGATGTTCCAGAAGAAGCTTCCATGTCCAAATGAGGTCACAGACGGAACAGCACTCACGGAAACTGCACAAGCGTCGCCAAGGAAACCCTGGTCACAATCACACACACCTAATGTAGAAAAATAACAAGTAAATAATATGTAGATTACATGGTCACAAATTCTGCTCAAAATTAACCCAAGTTTACATTTCCTGGCTAGGAATTGCCAAACTATAGGACACCTTATATATATGCATGACAAAACTATCTTTGGAGTGACTTGGAGCTACACTATCAAAATAATATTTCACAGTGTGCATTTCCCTTACATGAAAATACTGTTATTTGCCTGTAAACTCTGTTCTATAAAAAAAATCATGAACTTGAAAGGTCGACTGTAAAGGTCGACTGTAAAGGTCGACTGTAAAGATTGCTTTCATTTTGCAGGATTCTAATATTCACAACTTTTTGTGGCATCTATTTTTTGCAGTAATAATTTTTCTGTGAAAAATACAACTATCTAAATAAGTAGGATTTTACCCATCTTGACATTAGCACTATGTGCAATGGCCATTTGACCAGCAATCTACATAGAGCAAATCCTGCATAATTGACCATTTTAGCAAATTTACAAACAAAAAAAGACCTAAAATAAAAGGAAGGATTTTACAGTATTTTTCCAAAACACTGATACCTGAGGTTCATTTATATTCACCTCCATTACAGGAACCGTGACCGCTGCATTGATCAGTACACAGGTCGTTGTCAAGGTTAGGCAGTTCAAATGTCCCGCCAACCACGATCCAGATGGTCAGGTTGAAGGTCAGCTCAATGGAGCACTGTTCCTGTACGTTATCCAGCAATGTGTCTGCCCACCCTTGGTCGTCAGTCAGCTGTTAAGGTTACAGAAGCAGACAGACAAGTGCTTAGTATAAAATTCATTATTGACAAGTACAGATTGTAATGGGGCCATTACAAAAGTACCAAAAACTAATCCATTATAGTGACAAAGGATGCTAGTGGAAGTTGCAGTAGTATTTGCAATATTATTATACACCTTATACATTCCTAATTCGTATGAAATCAGTCAATATCTAAATTTTGGACCAATCAACGGCCAGTCTATGTTGGCCAATTAGTCCTATTAGAAAACAAAGTCTGCAGTTAGTGTTCAATGTACTGTTGTACACCTAATTACCAAATTTGAGCGAATTGTATCAATATCCAAATTTCAACCAATCAGAGGCCACATATGATTTTAATCTGTGTTTCTAGACAGCAACATATGCATAAAAAACTATTAGTTATGTTAACAACAAAACAACTTTAAAACGTAGATGGTCCAATTAATGCCCCTGAAGTTGGAAAATGAAGACAATGAATCTTGACAAAAAAGCAGTCATGCCAGTGGTTGACCTATAATTATATAAATGGCAACAATTATTATTATAGTTAAAGCTTGACTAATGAAAGTTGTCGGAAAGACACCTCGATTTCACACAATTCTCTTTCTTACCTGAATATCTTCAACACAACCCCCCAAGGATAGTTCAAACTGAATGTTGGACAGGCCCAAACATTGCGATGACCAAGATACTCCAGTGACAAAATTTCGACAGTACTGTAAAGCCACTTCGTACGTAATTCCAGAGGGTGTTGGCCATACCGGTTCCTGTAAATTAAGATATAAAGAACTTGAAATCTATCTAATTATTATTGGTATTAGGTACAATATCAGAGCTCTTTTATACTTCTGTGTAGTACTATGAGATTCTTTCAGGTCCAGTGGTTTAAGATAGAGAAATTTTAAACCTAGGAGAAAATCCCAGGTTTGCCAGGGTCTTGCCCCAATTTGGTAATCACAACTGTTATATTTCTCTATCCGAGACTCCTGAGCATAAATTTGCATATTTTCTCTCATTTCTATTACCACAATTAGTAATAAGCTCAGGAACCAGGGTGATTAGGTGGCCCAATGGATAACACACTCCCCTTTCACCAAGCTAAGGCGGCTGCAGGGGTTTGATTCCCCAATCAGACGGGAAAAAGGATGGGGTCACCTGCCCTACCACATTATTTTTCTCCAGGTACTCCGTTTTCCTCGTACATGAAGTCTCTTGTGTGCTAACATCTGGGGCCAACAAGAGTGATTAATATAAGTTGTAATAACTTGTTTCATAATTGTTATAAAATAGATATAAAGTTTATATCACATATCAGAAAACAGCATTTTTCAAAGGCTACCATGCATTTTGACAAAAACAAAAGGATTAATATGATTAAGCATACCCTCTGATTGTGTTTATCAAATTCATGCAGGTATGTAAAAGTTTTCAAAGTCATAACCCAAGACCTCAACGTGCCCGCAAAACCTGATGCAATCATGTTAGCATAAGTGTATATTTTGTCTCTTCATAACTGGCTATTGTACATATTATGATTATAAGATGGGGAACTCAAACGTTTACATATTATGACCCAAGGACTAACTCCTCAGAGGCTGACAGGACCCCTGGGAAAATCATTTTAGCATGATTGTGTTCGCTTCTTTATGCCCTGAAATAGCAGGGTAGCAGATCTATTTATTACACCTTACATCCCCAAATCTTCATTTAAAATATGACTTGAGGTTGTTACTCACGGGAGAAATGTAATCCGGATCATACTCAAATAGGATTTGAGTTTCATTCAGGAAACACTTGGTTGTTTGCTGGGAATAGTCAGCCAGTAAATTCTCAGTGATGTCTTTACCTGAAAACAGGAAATCAATAAATAAGTTGAATCTAATTAATTAAACTAATAGAACAGAAAGATCTTCAACAAAACAGAAAATGTCATTAAGGTTACAGTGCATTCAGCTTTTTTAATATATATGCATTCTGTAATATAATGCAACGGGTAAAAACAGAACATGATTTCTTTTAATCAAATTTGGGTAAGAGTTTTTTCCTTTTCACGTCTGATGTGAATATATATGTAACAGAGGTCATTATTTTTTCAATGACTCCGCTCGGAGTCCAACCCGGGACCTCTGGTTTACTAGTCTTACGCTCTACGGAATGAGCTAAAGGGAAATTCTCCCTAGCCGAGTCGGTAGGAAGCAACTAGTATCTTACCAGGGTGACATTTACACATTTTTATTTTGTTATTTAAGGATCTCTGTCCAACTGCACTGTGCTTTTTCGGATATACAGTTACCTCCCCTTAATTTCGTTTAGGATATAACTGTAGCACAGCCGATCCAGGACGCTTCCATTAAAGTAATGATAAACAATTTGAAGTCCTGGGCCCGTATTCATGAAGCCGTTCTCATGCTCAAGCATGGATTTTGTGCTCAAGCCTAATGTCTTTTTCTGGTTATACCTCAATAAATCAATCTTATTTTGTCAATGACTTGGAAACATTTTGAAGAGACTTATAGCCAAATACTGTTTTCAATGTTTACATTTGACTTTTTGATTGTTTGACATGATCTAAGCGAGTTACCAGAAAGTTGGTTTGAGCACAGATTCCATGCTTGAGCATGAGAACGGTTTCATGAATACGAGCCCAGGGTTCAAGTCCCTGTCTTGCTCTACCGAACACTGTTGATTACGTTTTATTTATTTCACGTTTATCACTCCATAAAAGTCGTGCAAAATATTGTTTTCTTTTCAGGAATGATTTATGAAAACTGGTAAAACGTTCCCAATGCATTGGCGCAGTTTCAGGCAGTATTACAGAGACTCTTAACAAGACTTAATCATCAATTAAAACAAATAGGATTCCCTTGTAAAGAATTGCTGGTACAGTACTTACCTCTTCTCCGTCCAGATTTTGTCCTTAAAGGTGGGCCGCAGTCTGCTATGTGAAGAGTTTTACCACAATTCCCATAGGAATCCATGCCACACTGACAGTACGTTACCTTGGAAACGTCCTCTACATCAAAGGGACAGAACCCTGTATACAAGGATTCCTCAGTGATGGGATCAATCCTAGAAAGATTGGGAGATATCATTGTTAGAGGAGATTTTGATTTTAATGAAAACATATTTTTCCCTTTGTTTTCCCTTGTATAAAGTTCTAGTCAGAATATATACCTGACAAATCTATTGCACCCTTCCAAAGCCTACATGTTCTTTCCATTTTTCTTAACTTAATTTCTCTCTCCTTATCTAACTGTAGGCAAGTTCTGTTACTATGATATTGCCTCAACCCTTTACATTATCTCCTCAGTCTGTCTCCATTCTCCCCTCCCCTTTACATTTCCTCCTCACCCTGCTATATTTCTCTCCCCTACCCCTCTACAATCTCTCCCCATCCCCTCTACATTCTCTCCCCCACCCCTCAACATTCCCTCCCCTACCCCTCTACATTCCGATCCCCGCCCTTCTACAATCTCTCCCCACCCCTCGACATTCCCTCCCCTACCCCTCCACATTCCCATCCCCATCCCTCTACATTCTCTCCCCATCCCCTCGACATTACCTCCCCTACCCCTCCACATTCCCATCCCCACCCCTCTACATTCTCTCCCCATCCCCTCTACATTCTCTCCCCCACCCCTTGACATTCCCTACCTTACCCCTCCACATTCCTATCCCCACCCCTCTTCAATCTCTCCCCAACCCTCGACATGCTCACCCCTACCACTAGATTTTTATAATGTACATACAACCAGCTCCTTGAGAATGCCTTTGGTCTCTTGGCTGATCCAGTGTATAGAGAGCCATCCCTCATTGTTTTGTCGTTGCTCCGGTCACCGTCCCAGGTACCACACAGTCCCACAGAATTCTTGTAATCTGCAGCCCCGGCTTTCACCCATACATTGATGAACTCAGGGGTCTTTCCTCTCCCATTCTTTACCGTAACTATCATACCATGAGGCAAGAACACCTGAAAACAAATGAAATATTATGATTGTAAACCGGTAATCTTTACCCTAAGGAGTGGCTGCTCATAATTTGATTTATTAGGGTATGATAGTGTTGGGAATCAGTAAAAATTATGATTGATCATTGGTTACCATCGTTAACTAGGCTTGAAAGTGAAAGTAAGTCAGTGATGAAGCCAATGTATTGGCTGGAAACTAGCTAGAGAAACTGAGAAACTGTAAGTAAGCTCACAAAGATATATCCCCCCACCCCCCTCAGAAATCATAGGTCATAACTCCAGGAAACAAATCACAAATTCCTTTCTTCAAGCATAATGCATATGTACATATGATATAGTTTGATTGTGCCAAGGTACTGACAAACAGTAAATGTGGAGTTGCACTTACATGGTTTCTGGAGCAGAAATGTATAGTTTCAAGGGTCATAACTCCAAGGAAAAGAGTATTATCGCAAATCCCTTTCTTCATGCACATTCACACAGGAAGTAGTTTCACTATGCCAAGTAAGAAGTTAAAAGAAATTCCAACAAACTGTTCTGGAGGATTTGGGCTTACAAGGTTTCTGGAGTGACATGTTTCAAGGGCCATAACTCCAGGAAAAAATAGTTGAACTGCAAATTTCTTTCCTCATGAACATCTACATACAATGCACTATTATTGTGTGAATTATCAAAGAAATCCAAACTCCCATTTTGTAAAAAACTTTACCAAAAGAGCAAAGGAAAACAAATGCAACATTTTAACTGTCATAAATTCGGATCAGTTATAAAAAACTACACAAATTGATTACTTATCATTTATGTTACCTTATATTTCTTTCCACCACCTAATCGCCTGATCCTTGTTCCTGGGGTCAGTTCACCATTGAGGTACAGTTTTAAAGTCATTGGCTGTTTTTCGCCAGCCTTTGGCCCACACCGGTCAATCAGGATGACGTCATCACCTGACCTTACTGCCACGGCACAATTACACGAGGCACGTTTGTTACAACTGCGGTAAAGTGCCCTTACTTCAAACGGCAGGTAGTTGTGTTTATATAAAATGAACTCTCCCTCCAAAAAATTGTTGTACTTCCTGTGGAGACAAAAAATGAACTCTCCCTCAATGCTATTATTGAATACCCTTTGAAGATAATTATTCATATTCAAAGAAATCTAGCCTTGGTTGAAATGTTCCATCAAACTTTTGAATAATCTCTCCCCAACAGAAATGGCTGTATTTCTGTATAATCAAATACTGACATGAATTGAATTATCTATCAATTTAATTGTTGTATTCCCTGTGTATAGTCAAATGTTTATATAAAACAAACTCTCCCTGAAAGTAATTGATGTAAATCCTGTGTGGTCAAACATTGATACAAAGTGACTTCTCCCTTGAGGGTATATGTAACTGTTTAATTGTTGTATTACCTTGGGCAACAAATAACTATATGGAATGGAGGCTAATGGTTGTGCTAATCTGATGCTGAGTAAAGAGATATACCTACCAGCCATCGAACGAGGTCATGTGGGGGTCATTGATGGATCTACATATTACACTTTTGTCGCCATCGGTAACAGTGACCTTGACCTGACCAACAGTTTCATTGAAGACCATATTGTCCTCACAGTGGATGGAGGCAGTGATGTTCAGGCTGCGCTCCATATCTCCATCGTAGAGGAGATCAACAGTGGCAGCCACAGGCAGACGGAACTCTTCATCCCACGTCTCCATGGAGATGACCCCACCACAAAATGCCTCTTCAGGAGAGGAGCTGTACCTGTTAAAGTGAAACACTTATGTAAAGCAGGCAGTGTACTTTATTATGACAGATCTGAGTTGAAAACAATAGACTCAATTGTTAGCTTTTTTTCAGGCGTCAGTTGTAATCACAAGGGTTAAGTGTATGGGCTGTTTTTCAATTATTTGCGAGGTTTGTGATTTTGCAGTGTTTTTATGAGGGGTAACTTCCAAAATATAGGATATAATTGACCCCGATGCAGGAGTACCAAATCAGGGTTTTGGCTATTTTTTTACAGATTTTCCATCACTACCCCGCACAATCCGAGGTGATAAAAACCTATGTCATACTGTTCATTTTCCTTTTAATAATTTTAAAAAATTAAGACTTTTTTCTTTCTATTGTAACTGGATAAAAAAAATACATAAACAATTACTGTTACATTTGATTACTTGTTGGAAATTAAAAAAAATGATGTATAAACCATTTAACAGCTGCTTACCTATATCCCAGCACTGCCTGGTGCAAAGCATTCCCGTTAGGACAAACACTTTCTTCTTCTAGGAATTTTGCTGTCAGTCTGACAAAACAAGAGTTGTTTCCCCTTTGTGAAGGTGGGAAAAACAACCGAGGAGGCACTGTGGTCTTAACAAGAATGTCCCCAACTGGACTCCCCTCATTGACCGTCAACTCTGTAGTCACAACCTACAAGAGGATAGTTAGCTTAGGAAGATGTTGTGCAAAGAAAACCCACCTTCCATATTGTTTGTTAAATTTGAATTCATATTGCATTCAGCTAGCTACACCTTTGGTGAAAGCATTGTTAGCTTTAGAATATGTTTTGTCAAGAAATAACTACCTAACATTCCGTTTGTTCAAATTGATTTTATACTGTAACAATTCCATAAAGTTACAAATTAATGCAAGGAAACAGAAACATGTATCTCTTTTTGGAAACTATTGACATGCCATACTGTAAAAACAGGCGAATATAACACTTTCTGTAGTGATATCAGGATGCATCTCGCAGTCAAGTAATATATCAGTATATAAACTTTTTTTCGAAATCCACTTTGACCTTTGAATCAATGAGAATATTGTAAGATAAAACTTTAATATATTTCAAAGATCTCAAAACTATTTATACTTACCCTGACTTCAGCTATGAAAGTGATGCTGTGTCTTTGTGGTCCACGGGTGTTGTCACAAGCATATGAATAACATGGTGTCACATGACAGGAAACCTACAACAAAAATATTTTCATTATTCATAGTCCTTGAGAAAGGCAGCAAGTTCAACACCTAGGGTAGACTTTTTGTTTGTGTAAGATATTTACAGTAAGTTGATTCTCAAAACTCAATGCCACAGCCGATTCAACAGAGAGCAAATACACCTTGAAATATTCTATTGACAAAACAAAAACTTTAACAGGTGAAAATATCCTAATTTATATGAGTCCTAGCTAGGACTAGGAATATTTCTTTCTTTTTCACTGATGCTTAATCTTACATAACATAAACCCTGTCACAGTTTGACCTTGGCCAAGTCTAATATTGACAAAGGTCTGGTAAAGTTTGACCTTGACCCAGTCTAATATTGACAATGATCCTGTAAACTTTGACCTTGACTAAGTCTAATATTGATAATAATCTGGTAAAGTTTGACCTTGTCCAAGTCTAATGCTGACAATTATCTGGTAAAGTTTGACCTTGACCATGTCTAAAACTGACAATTATCTGGTTAAGGTTGACCTTGACCCAGTCTAACATTGACAACGATCTGGTGAATTTGGTCTTGGACCCAGTCTTAAGTTGATTACAAGAGAATGATTGATAATGGATGATGCAGTCAAAATGCAATAGCAACAGATCATCTGAGACAAAGTCTCAGATGACTTAAAATTAACAATATTACACTTTCAAAACTGACCTTGACCCCATAACCTCCATCACCGTAGGTTGTCTCGTTCATTTTGTCCTCATCACCGTCTAAACTTGAAGATTTTACAATAACATCATTGACCTTCCAGTCCAACAGGTAGATAACATCCCCTCGAGCAAGCTTGTCAAATTTGCAGATAAACTCTGTCTCCATTGAAGTACTGTCATAGTCGACAGAAATGACTGGTTTTTCAGGAAGTTCAGGGAAGTCTGAAAAACAAACATTTCAGAGGCAAACCCAGCTATAACATAAAATAAGTCACCTTTGGTGTAAGGGTCACAAAACAAAATAGGAGCCTTTGTGGAAGACCAGTTTATAAACGGCCATATGGCCCTCAACACTATTCAATATCAGTCAAATCACATCAAATTAACCTTGTCATGAATTTGGATGAGGTACTGTTTGAAAAGATGTTGCAACGGTCGAAGCAAGGGGAATAACTCTAAACGACATTTCTCCTTTTTAGAACCTTGATTCCGTCTTTAAAGTTGTATCAATATATCATACACTTTCAACAATGTACTATAAAACAAATCAAATGATTACAATGATCGAATTCAAAATTACAAATTATTTTTACCGATGATTTTTTTTCTTAGTGATTAACCCATTGTCAGTTTCTGGAAACACGTCAAACAGTTAGGAGTAACACTCACCAATAATAAAGTTTACAGCTGTTATGACGGTTCTCTGCCAATTAAACATTTGCCACTGTCCAAGTATAAAGTGAGCATGGAAATTGCCTCCAATCTTGAGAGGTCCAATATCAGTTCCGAATACTGTACGCTTGACAAAGTTAACAGTGCGCCCCCTACTGACACCGTCAATGAAAAACTCGAGCCCGTAACTTCTGCTCCAGGTCCATTCAAACTCCACAAAGTTCTTCACAGTGGAAAATACAGTGGACACTGTCCATTCCTTGTCCCTGGTGCTAACAATCAGGAAAATTCTACCCCGTCTGTAAAACATCGTGACGCCACGATGAGTAGGATTATCTGCCCCTGATGAGATCATAACCATACCATCTGTCAATGTTAAAATGTTGATGGAGAATCGGAACGTAAAACCTCGTCCAGCACAGGGACCTGGATCGTTTAGACATTCCAGTGTGTTTGCGATGTCAACATATCCTGAAATGCCGTCAAAGGAGAGTGCATAGTCCCCTCTCCAGCCGTTCACCAAGGTTACCTGGCCTCCGAACGGCATATTCCCGCTTGACATCATTATCACACCTCCAGATATTGACAGGAATCGTTCTCGGCTGACAACGATCATACTGGCTGTGATAAACAAAAGATAAAAACAACAACAATTAAAGTTTTGTCAAACTGAGAAACAATTCATTAACATTAAAACCTAACAAGAAATATCTTTAAGGAGTTCTCCTCTGTATGAGGCTATAAGTATGAAATTAAACTGTACCTATAAATAACATTGATTAAAACGTATGAACAAACGAAAACTCGTTAACAAAACTAACAATGAAAGAATGATAAAAATGCATATACTTTTCCATAACATCAATTGTTTAATTGTGGAAGGAGGTATGTTGGGGTATGGGTGATGTGGTCCGACTGGTCACTTGCGGGCATTAATTTGTTGCTTAATTTGTACTATGATTAATATAAATACAAATGATGCAGCAGTTTCTATTCAGAAGCTGAAAATAAGAACATGGCCTTGACCTTGCTCATTACTGACCTTGTCTAGTTTATAATCTACACTTCCATTCTCATCAGTGACCTTGACCTTATTCATTATTAACCTTGTCTGGTTTGTAATCTACACTTCCATTCTCATCAGTGACCTTGACCTTACTCATTATCATCCTTGTCTGGTTTGTAATCTACACTTCCATTCTTGTGTGTGATCTTGACCTTACTCATAATTGACCTTGTCTGGTCTGTATTCCCATAGGTGATCTTTTCCTACTTACCATTGACGATGGTCCAAGCGGTCGTGTTGATACTTGGGAAACAAACCCTGGTGGGATCCTGGTCGAAAAACTGCCCTTCCACGTAACACTCCCCTCCAATCCGACAAGTGTCATTCTACAAACAGGAGTGAAATAAAAATATTCAAACAAACCTTATTGTTAAAGAGACCAAGGGTGTGATAACATGGAAAAAATATCAAGAAAGCTCACAAGATACCTGAAAGGTCATGACAAGGTCAAGCTTAATATATTACTAATTAGGTATACGTACATTAATAGCAAATGTGACTATCTACCAGGTGAATTACATATGTATTTCCAGGAAAATGTAACAGCAATCAGCTTTTTATTTTATTTTATGTGAGATATAGCAAATCCATATTCTTCAATTTACCAACAACAATTGAAAAATGTATAACATACGATACATACTCCTACGATACATACACCTACGGTACATACATACTCCTACGATACATACTCCTACGATACACCCTCCTACGGTACATACTCCTACGATACACACTCCTACGATACATCCTCCTACGATACATACTCCTACGATACATACGATACATACTCCTATGATACACACTCCTACGGTACATACTCCTACGATACACACTCCTACGATACATACTCCTACGATACATACTCCTACGGTACATACTCCTACGATACATACTCCTACGGTACATACTCCTACGGTACATACTCCTACAATACATATTCCTACGATACATACTCCTACGATACATACTCCTACGGTACATACATACTCCTACGATACATACTCCTACGATACATACGATACATACTCCTATGATACACACTCCTACGGTACATACTCCTACGATACACACTCCTACGATACATACTCCTACGATACATACTCCTACGGTACATACTCCTACGATACATACTCCTACGATACACACTCCTACGGTACATATTCCTACAGTACATACTCCTACGATACATACTCCTACGATACATACTCCTACGATACACACTCCTACGGTACATATTCCTACAGTACATACTCCTACGATACATACACCTACGATACACACTCCTACGGCAACACTCCTACGGTACATACTCCTACGGTACATACTCCTACGATACATACTCCTACGATAACTTCTGAATAGTCTTACCTGATCTTCTGAATAGTCTTACCTGATCTGTGCAAATTCCTGAGTCGAGGTCACATGACTGGCAGAATGAATCAAACACCAGATAGGGTTCGGGGTCACTCTCCAAATTATCGTAATTACTGACTGTTACGTTGACACTTTTACTATTGACGAGTTCACAACGAACGCTTTCCAGTGAAACAAATATGGCTGGCACTGTCGTTATCTCGCTTGTCTGCAAACAGTAAGGTTTTAAAATGAATGACTGAAGTATCTTATTAACAAGCATTAAAAAGATTAAGGTAAATATGTACCAACATTACATGCTTTACGATTGAATTTGAAGCAAAATATAGACTAGCAGCTGGCGACAACTACATGTCTATCTAGGCCTATTTGATCACGTACGTCGTAAGGCATTACCTGAATACAGCAAGTGTTTTGATAAGATGCAAGTTTCAATGAAATGAACAAATAAAAGACAATTATTTCACTGTTTAGAAAGAAAAATCCTTGTCAGTTACAAACATCTTTTCTAAACAATTTTCTTTGTAAAACCATATAACTTGGACATTTAAATATTGTCGCTTCCAGGTATTGACAACTGAAAAGGTCAGAAAAACATGTTTTCTCTTAATGTCATGTTCTGGTTAATATCATGTTTCCCCCTGACAAATGAGAAGTGATATTGAGTGAAATCTACTGTGCCTATGGTTTACCCCTTAGTTCATCACTAAAGTAAATCTACAGTGCCTATGGTTTATCCCTTAGTTCATCACTAAAGTAAACGATATTAGTAATTAAAAGTGAAGGGCAAAATTAACATGGAACATAAACAACAAGAATTTTACCAGCAAAGGGTGAAAGTTTGACTGGGTGAAAACACCTCGGTATACAGTAAAGGGTTATAGTGACAGTTCAAACCCAAAACTATTTCTTTGACAAACAAATGGCCATGAATGATACCGATTATCTTCTGCTCTTTTGCTTCGTAAGGGGCCAGAAGGATTTGAAGCAAATCTTCTCCTTCCAATAGTAAGAGGCAAGAATGGTTTTGAACCAAACCTTCTCCTTTGACTAAAATGGGGCAAAAAATAATTTTAATTTGACTTACAAGTGGCCAGAAAATGGTTCTGATCATCGTCTTCTATTTTGATTAAAAGGGCACAGAAAGGGTTCTAGTCACTTTCTTCACTTGTGATTAACTAGAGGCTAAAATAGGGCCTTGTGTCATCTTCTCTGCATGGGATTAACAAGGGGCCAAAATGGCTCTGGTACTTTTGCTTTTCTAATTACCTGTAGGTCTGTAAAGTGACATTTAAGGTTCTCGTTCCGGATGAAATTTCTTCCATAGATTATAAGGAGCGAGCATGATCCGATTCTTGTATCACAGAGTTGTCCCCCTTCAAACCCTAGTAGGACAGGTGGATTGGCCATCACCAACGAACAATCAGCTCCGGCAAACCCGCTAGCACACTTACAAACTCCTGGATTGAAAAAGACCACACATGATTCATCTTATTTACTCTGTATCGATGTTGAGAAATAATTATCACCAGTTTATAAACCTAGTTTTACACTGTTTACATAAAATAATCATTTCCAAGAAATATACTTATTCAAATTATACTAACCTTCCTCACAGACGCCATTGTTGTCACATTCTGGACACAGTGAGTGTGTGATGTTAAAAGGAGGGATAAGATCTCCGCCATCTACCACCCAAAGGTCGGTGTTGGTCGCTATCTCCGCCAAACACTTGATCTTCACACTGACCAGGGCCTCAAAAGCCCATGACTGGTCATCTGTGATCTATAACAAATTGTGCATTTTGCAATTACAACATTATTTGACTGTAAAGAATATACAGCGCTATCATTCACAGACAAGAGGCCCAATGGGCCTATATCACCCGTCAGTTATCCAATGCTGCTGGAAATCACATCTCTGGCCCTCAAAGTGAAATCACATCTCTGGCCCTCAAAGTGAAATCACATCTCTGGCCCTCAAAGTGAAATCACATCTCTGGCCCTCAAAGTGAAATCACATCTCTGGCCCTCAAAGTGAAATCACATCTCTGGCCCTCAAAGTGAAATCACATCTCTGGCCCTCAAAGTGAAATCACATCTCTGGCCCTCAAAGTGAAATCACATCTCTGGCCCTCAAAGTGAAATCACATCTCTGGCCCTCAAAGTGAAATCACATCTCTGGCCCTCAAAGTGAAATCACATCTCTGGCCCTCAAAGTGAAATCACATCTCTGGCCCTCAAAGTGAAATCACATCTCTGGCCCTCAAAGTGAAATCACATCTCTGGCCCTCAAAGTGAAATCACATCTCTGGCCCTCAAAGTGAAATCACATCTCTGGCCCTCAAAGTGAAATCACATCTCTGGCCCTCAAAGTGGGTTAAGGACAAATTTATTTGAAATAATGTTAATAGGAATCAACCTTAGACCACGGAATTAATACAATAACTATACGTGCTATGGATCTCCACTGGAAGATTTTTAACAGAATTTTTCAGGCAACATTTAAAGCAATCTACCCAGTCATACTGCAAAAGGTAATATTTCTGATCTTATTTCAACAAATCACCTTAAATGGAATTTGCCTACCTTCAACGTCACATATGAAAGCCTTATAAAATTGTTTAAACGTGCTGTCTGAATTCAAATATATAAATATTGACATGGCAATAGGCAATTTTATAATGTGGCTCGTGACCAGTGGTCATTACTGCCCTTTGACCTCTCTAGTCATTGACCAATACTTATCCCTGCTCTTTGACCTCTGTAGTCACCGACCAGTGGTCATTCCTGCCCTTTGAACTCTATAAGAGTAACTTACTGCTATGTCTTCCACACATGACCTGATGCTGGCGTTGATCTGTGCAGATATAAACCTGTTACATATGACCCCGACGTCCACTGAGAATATTTTCTCCCAACATATCCTATAAGCCTCAGTTTCGTTAATACCACCAGGGGTTGGGAATGTTCCTGCCTGCAAAAAATAAATGACAATTTTTACATGACGCTTGGTGTCCAATCTTTCCATATCATTCAGTGTAGTAAAGCATTCATACATTTAGATTTGTAATCGGAGACCTTCGAGGAAAACAACAAGCAAACCAAGATTCTACCGAGATCAATTGGGTTCCAGTTAAAATAGAGTACTGGCTTATGTGGTAATAAAACACCTTGTACTATCAGTTTGAATTACAGGACCTGGTACTGAAATGTGGATGGAATGTATCTGCATCTTGAAAAGCCAGAGAGTGGAAACTCTGACAGTGAGTTACCTCCCTGTAACCACTAATTGACTGACACCTACTGTTGAAGTGTAGTTAGCGTCGAACTGGAACGTCAGCCAAGGCTGGACACTGAAACATCTCGTCGGCAAAAAGGACGGAATGGTGGCGGTTATGTCTTCTCCTGTGCACATACACCAAACAGTAGTGAGTTTGGTGGCTTAAATGGCCAATTAAAATAATAATTCCGCTTTATCACACTCGGCTCATAGACTCACTTTTTTTCATTCCATAGCAAAATTTTATTCCTGTTGCTATGTCATCCCAAAATATTTAAAAGATACCCTAAATCTGAAAAATAGGCAATTGAATAAAAAAGTATCTGTCTACAACTGGTAAAATTATGCCTTGGATGTTAACAAAAAAGTTGCCAAACATGAGGTTTTCCAATTAGTGATTAATGTGACTAATGTATTCATTTCGTGATTGACCAAAATGATGTCCATTATTGTTGAACATTGCCTTACCAAAAAAACACATTTGGGGTTTAAACTACACACAGGTACATACCAGGTACAGGGACAATCCCTCACCTGTAGAACAGGTAAGACCACACATAGCAATACACACTGGGGGGTATACACTACACACAGGTACATAACAGGTAAAGGGACAATCCTACACCTGAAGAACAGGTAAGAACACACATAGCAATACACACTAGGGGGTTTAAACTACACACAGGTACATAACAGGTACAGGGACAATCCCTCACCTGTAGAACAGGTAAGAACACACATAGCAATACACACTCGGGGTATAAACTACACACAGGTATATAACAGGTACAGGGACAATCCTACACCTGTAGAACAGGTAAGAACACACATAGCAATACACCCTGGGGGGTATACACTACACACAGGTACATACCAGGTACAGGGACAATCCTACACCTGAAGAACAGGTAAGAACACACATACCAATACACACTGGAGGTATACACTCCACACAGGTATACATACCAGGTACAGGGACAATCCCACACCTGTAGAACAGGTAAGAACACACATAGAGATACACACTTGGGGAATAAACTACACACAGGTATACATACCAGGTACAGGGACAATCCCACACCTGAAGAACAGGTAAGAACACACATAGAGATACACACTGGGGATATAAACTACACACAGGTATACATACCAGGTACAGGGACAATCCCACACCTGTAGAACAGGTAAGAACACACATAGCAATACACACTGGGGGTGTAAACTACACACAGGTATACATACCAGGTACAGGGACAATTCCACACCTGTAAAACAGGTAAGAACACACATAGCAATACTCACTGGGGGTATAAACTACACACAGGTACATAACAGGTATAGGGACAATCCCACCCCTGTAGAACAGGTTAGAACACACATAGCAATACACACTGGGGGTATAAACTACACACAGGTATACATCCCAGGTACAGGGACAATTCCACACCTGTAGAACAGGTAAGAACACACATAGCAATACACACTGGAGGTATAAACTACACACAGGTACAAAACATGTACAGGGACAATCCTTCCCATGTAGAACAGGTAAGAACACACATAGCAATACCCACTGGGGGTATAAACTCCACACAGGTACATAACAGGGACAGGGACAATCCTACACCTGTAGAACAGGTAAGAACACACATACGAATACACACTGGGGGTATAAACTACACACAGGTACATAACAGGTACAGGGACAATCCTACACCTGTAGAACAGGTAAGAACACACATACGAATACACACTGGGGGAATAAACTACACACAGGTATACATACCAGGTACAGGGACAATCCTACACCTGAAGAACAGGTAAGAACACACATACCAATACACACTGGGGGAATAAACTACACACAGGTATACATCCCAGGTACAGGGACAATTCCACACCTGTAGAACAGGTAAGAACACACATACCAATACACACTGGAGGTATAAACTACACACAGGTATACATACCAGGTACAGGGACAATCCCACACCTGTAGAACAGTTAAGAACACACATAGCAATACCCACTGGGGGTATAAACTACACACAGGTATACACACCAGGTACAGGGACAATCCCACACCTGTAGAACAGGTAAGAACACACATACCAATACACACNTGTACCCATAACTTACACAGGTGTCACACAGTAAACCATAATCAGGTCTGTACCCATAACTTACACAGGTGTCACACAGTAAACCATAATCAGGTCTGTACCCATAACTTACACAGGTGTCACACAGTAAACCATAATCAGGTTTGTACCCATAACTTACACAGGTGTCACACAGTAAACCAAAATCAGGTATGTACCCATAACTTATACAGGTGTCACACAGTAAACCAAAATCAGGTCTGTACCAATAACTTACACAGGTGTCACACAGTAAACCATAATCAGGTCTGCTTCTTTGAATTCTCTGTGTCCAGAAATAATTCTTATCACATTATAAGCATTGTAAACATGTCTTCTCCTCTGATTTTGAATTGAATAAATAAAAAAATAATAATTATTTCAAAGCTGAAAGAATCTTTAACCACCGTATCGAAAAGCGATACGGTGGTTAAAGATTCTTTCACCTTTGGTTCGGCCAATCTAGGATAAGAAATTTGCTTTTCTGAATATTATATCAAGCCTGCTCCTTTCACTATAATATCATGGGTACCAGCGAGGGTTCTTTAATGGTATTGTCCTATATACTACTGATTGTCTGATTCCTCACCTAACTCTCCACTGAAGGGAGAAGTCGTCAGGCTTCCGCGAGTTAGTCTGGTCTACAGTTCCATCTGGTAATGTTAAATCATCATCCATATCCCCGTTAAAAGTGCCGCACAAACCTGGAGAATAAAAAGATATCAAATGAAAATTCTACGTTCCACACCCTAGGGCATTTTAACATCGTTTATTAGACAAATTATAACAAATTTATGAGAAAATAATAATTATGTTTTAGTGAACATTTTATTCCTTCTTTATTAGCCAATATGCATATTTTCTGTTTAACAGCTCAGGAACATAACGCTCATTTGATCTCTGATCTAGTAAACTTAAAACAATAACTTTTTTCTTATATAGTAAACACAGAGTTAGCAAAAGTTTGACGTTGCTCCCCTACCAACTGTCTGGTTGAAGTCGTGTGCCGAGGCATGCATGTACACGTTCAGGTAACTCTGTCTGTTCCTCTTCACATTGCCGTCTTTAACTACCACATAGCTTCCCGTCGGTAGGTACACCTACAAAAAGAATTTTCTAAATAAAAAGATTGTTCATGCATGCAATGTACTACAGTACTACATACCTTAAGTATCAAAATCTACATTAATAGCCAAGATTGGACTATCTGTACATGACAAAATCTACATAAAATATCACATATATACCAATAGTCAAGAAAAATAACAATTAGAAATTGGAAGTCTTTTTCTTTGGAGATACAACTCAGAGCACTGAGACTATCTACCTTAAATATTTTCTATGTTACTCATTCCCCCACAAAATGCCCAGCAGCTTTTATAAGTAGTCCATTGACAGCTATTTAACTAATGAAATAAAATAGTAGACAGATAGAAAGAATACTTGCCCTGTGTTCTTTTCCCCCTTCGTACTTCACGACACGTGTCCCAGAATTGAATTGACCGTTGATGTAACGCTTTATTTCAAGACGAGGTTGGGCACGGTCCTTGTTTGGGCCACATCTGTCAATCAGGATGACGTCATCAAATGACCGTACAGCTACAGCACAGTTACAGGCCGCATGTCCATTACATTTGCGGAAAAATGTTCGCACCTACAAGGTCGTGGAAATGCCAAAAGGTCAAAATTGGTAACATCACTTATACATGTACTTAACTATTAAATGCACTCGTGTTGCCAAAGACATTTAATTTAACCACTAGTAATTGCAAAATATTTAAAAAGATTGTATCAAGTTTAACTTAAATACAACAACATGAATGTTTCAGATGTATTCTGTTAATCAAAAGTTCCAATTCTAGGGAAACTTCAGTATTTTGTTTTTACTAAAGGTAATTTCTTCTGAAATGTTATAGATTAACAATTGAACAACATTTTACTCACCTCAAATGGTAAGGTATTGTGTCTGTACAGGACAAACTCGCCCTCAGAGTAAACGTTGTAGTATCTGTGAAAAGACATCATTAAGTAGTTAGCTATTGGAATATGGATTAATGTTTAACAGGAAAGAAAAATTGAAAAATTCAATGGCCAGACTTGGATTGGACCCAGGAGCTTGGAACTCGAGACAGACGTTAAACAAACTCAGCTTGACCTGGTCATTGGCGATCACCCCAGTCGAGTAACACTACAATTTCATTCTTCCTTCAACAAAATGTTTGACCCCTGACCCCTGACACCACGAGACCCCACACCACCTTCCAAGGGTATACTGAGCGGAGTGCCAAATGTAAAAGGATAGGAGAAATGCACGACCAGACTTGGAATTGAACCCAGGACCACCAAACTGTAGACAGATCTCTTAACCGACTGAGCTAGCTCGTTGTGGCAATTGATCCAGTCCAGTTCATAACACTTTCATCAAAACATGTTTCTTGCTAATTCGTATTATGCAAACTCTTCCTATTTTGGAGGAAGTCTCCCAATTTCGGACCTGAAAATTGAGCATTTTCATCAAATGAATTTGCTAAACTACTGTAGTCCTATTCTCTAAGATCTGATGATTTCATCTGTAAGAACAACTCAAAAGATTGTTAAAACTGTTATTTTTTTCCCTAGGGTGTACATGCACACATTTTATTTATGCTTTTAATTTTGAGCACGCATAATCTCCCTCATGGAAATTTCAAAAAGTTAACAAGCATGCTATAATCCCTACTACAACAAAGACAAATTTGTGTCCCCTGGAAAGATACCTAATAGCAAGTATGTACTGTTTGCATGTGAAAATTAATATTGTTTAGAAAAAATCTACAATTATCCCTACTTGATAAAGTTATGTAAAACTGCCCTAGTTTAAGCTGTTTTGGTAAAAATGCAAGATTTTGGAAAAGGATTTATACAAACCTTCCATCAAATGTGGTTGTGTGTGGATCGTTGACGGAGGAACAGAGACCTACCGGGTTGACATCTTCCACCATCACCTGAAATCACCAAAAACACTGATTATACCCACATCATTATAACAACAGGTGGAGCAATGCTGTACCATAAGTTGCCTGATTATACCAACAAAATAACATGAAATTAACACTTTTGTTAGAGGACTTCATGACCTTTTTATCCATGAACATTATTCAATCATAGGATTTCTGGGTATCAAAAAGAAGATTTTTGCGAATTTGTCCACTTTTGGCCCTGCCCCTTAGGCCCTTGGGTTGCAGGAAGTTAAAGCTAAGGGCAGTAGCTCCAGGAAAAATAACAGAATCATAAATTCCTTTCTTCATGGACATCTTTATATGTTGTACTTTCACTGTGTAAAGTTTGAAGAAAATCCAACAAACGTTTAGAAGGAGTTGTACATAGGAGATTCATGTACTAATAGATGGACAGATAAATGGACAGGAAGATTCTGATATATATCCAGACCCCCAACAAAGTTCTTTTCTGGAGGGGTGGTTTAACAACCTACTGGTAATGCCCTTTCCTTACCTTGACAGGAACTTCATTTGCAGGAATTTCCCCAAAAAGACTGGATTTAACCAGTAGTGTTCTTTCCTGATTCCCGTCTTTAAGGTTGTCCACAGTTGCCTGAACAGCAAACTCGTACTCGTCATTCCAGTCCTCCTCCGTAATTATCAGGCCACACAGTGCGTTTTGGATCCTCAGCTGTGGAATGATCATTCCGTTACACATGAACTCTTTCGTTTCCTGTACCATCGCCATCACCTGGATACCACATGTGTCGTTTGAGGTTGTGGCGTTGCAGAAGATAAAGGGAGGGAACTCCATTTTTATTTCCACATGTTCGTCTTTCTGTCCCTCTGTTATGGTAAGTGATTCTGTCTTCACCTGGAAATCAATTTTAACAAAAGTAGTGCAAAATGTGTCATAGCTTTGGCACATTTTTTTCCTGTTAATTAATCTAATTTAGCATAGTTCAGTGGTTCGTTATAAGGCCAAATAATATATGTTCTTTGTTTCTGGTAAAAAAAAAATATTCCGAAGACCTTATAAACTTTTTTGATTAGCTAGGTACAAGTTATTGGTAATTAATCTGATTTAGCATAGTTTAGTGGTTAAGGCGAAATAATAAATGTTATTTGTTTGCTGGTTTCCCTTCTTACCCTTATTTTCTGTGCCTACCCTAACTTTTTTCCCCCAATTTTCAAGGAAGCAATGTTAAAGTTAGGATTACTCTCCAATATGAACTTTATAAAGAAAATGAAAAACAAAATGTATTTCCTACCTACCCTAATCCTTTCAGACATGTTACAGGAAACTAACATGTTGTTTTCTTTGGCCTAAACTTGTTTTACTTTAGATCATCATTATAATACTAAGGTCCCCTAGGCTTTGTTATAAACATGATTTACTGTCAAGGATTAATTTCTTAGGTTCCCCTTGGGTTTGTTACAAACATACCTTACCAGGGTACTGTGGTAATCTTAATTCATGCTTAGAAAATCAGGAATAACAGAAGGTGGTTCGAAGAAAACACATCATTGGCAATCAGGGATTCAAAAAAAGGAATTAATAGTTACCGTTACAATAGCATGGATCTCGTTGCTATATTTGATAGGGCCGGTAGTGCTGTTACAGTTATCTTCGTAACATGCTTCAATCCCACAATGCACCTTGGACCCATAAGTGAAGTTCTGGAACAAATCCAAATCGGCATCCTCTTGCGTCATATTTGAATCGGTGATGTTGGTGTCTAAGAGGACGGTGCTAACAATCAGGCCATCAAGAATCCAAGCGAGGGAGACCATTGTGTTGTTTCTTTGTGCTGGCAGTTCATAGTCACAGTGAAACCAGAATTGTTGAGCAGACATGTTGTAAGTGTAGGTAAGAACTGGACTTTCCCGCACCAGGGGGTAGGCTGTAACAACAATTTAACATTCCATTTAATACATTAGAAGGAAGCAGAGCTCTCAAAATATTGACATGGAAAAAAACATTATGGATACTTTTTTTATTTGGTTACCATAACCATTTGCTGGCTTGTTAACTGGTACACTTAAGTTAATAGATAAAGAATATGGGCTGGCATCTGTGTCAACAGCGGGTTAGACACACTGTCTACAGATTTGACTTTGTGCAGGGTTACTCTGTTTTTGTCAGGAACTTTACATAGGCACAGTGTAAAACTCACGGAAAACAGGTCTGACCATGATATTTTAAATACTTAGTAAGTGAAATATTTAAACTTTTTATTGTGCTCTTATTCCTTAAGCAATCACGTGGTAGTTTTACTATGACGAAGTACCGCTGTAGCATTTTAAAAGCAATGAAATAGTATATTAGGTCTGTATCCACATCTAGTAAACTGATTATAACACAAACAGAAAGCAATTTTAATTGGCTGTAACCTTTTAACTTGTGAGGATATTTATCAATAAGGCTTTCTGTTACACCTTATATTTCTGTTTGTCTGAAGCCTTTGAACTAGATCTAACACGCTTGCTTGGAACTGAAAATGTTTGCAGCGTTGTTGAATTCGCAGATGAATCCTTTCGTGAAAAGTGCGAAAATAACACTACCGTGAAAATTACCAAATTCTGACAGAATGAACTAGAAATCATAGTTATCTACTTCTTATCAAATAATGCAACCTCATAAATTTTGGTTCAGTTGAGTTTAGAAACTAACAGAGCGAAAACCAACAGGCAATTAGATTGAAGGGAATGACCTTGAATAACCAGATCTATTGAATGAACTCTTCGTACTTGAACTTAGTATAAAGTTTTATCAAAATCCATTGAGAAATGGATCAGTCACTAGAGTGTGTGACACTGAACTAATTGACAAAAGTTATATGGTAATGGTCACCTTGGCCTTTAACCTTTGAACTCTGAAATACAAAATTTGTAAAAGGTATCCTCATATCTCATCATTATTCTGCGAAAATATTAAGTCTTTTGTTTCATCAACATCATATGAAAGGAAAACTATAATTCCCTATTTAACTTACGTCTCACTATACTCCACATATCGTAATGTTCGTCCGGGTTACACACTTGGGAACTATTATCAGGGTTCGGCTGCCCGAACTGGAAACATTTGTTGCCTATGAGACAAGTCTGAGGCTGCAATGAAAAGAAACAAAGCCCTTAGAGGAGACACAGAACATGAAAGTGAATGTTGTGTGAAACATATCCTTTTTTGGCTACAAATTTTGGAAAAAGATTGTACGAGAAATGAATTTTACAAAACAATAATGAATTTTAATGTATGCCCATCTGACCAACTGGAAGATTTTTTCCAGTTACTTTCCAATCCTCTTGGTCACTAACTGAATTAGCCAATCAGCTGTAGGTTCTCTAATTCCCTGCAGTGTGACAGAGATCTTTAAACAGACAGGAATATTACCTTAGCCATGCATGTCGCTGGTCCGGAACACTCGTGACATTCACTGTGGAAAACTGTGACGATATAGGAATCGGTAAACGTGGAGTTGTCGTTGCTATAGGCAACCATGTAACTGATCGCTTTCTCCGTCATAACTGCCACTTGGTAGGGTGTTAAGAAGTAACCTGGTATATACTTATGTTCTGGATCAACCATGTAAGTTCCATCATATGTCAACTGAAAATTGAGTGCAAAATAACTGATGAATTATTATGAAAGTATTTATCTTAATGTAAACATTAAGTTATATGAACTTCTAGCGGTTTATGTATATTTATTGTTTCTAAAAAGATATGTGGAAGTAAATCATTATTTCATGTTACAAATTACTAGGTTTTACCGTACGTGTACATCCGACGACTCAGATTGCAGGAATGCATTACACTTATGTTTATATTTCTCAGTGACTTTAGTAAGGGTGTAATATATAGCAATGTGCCTAATGAACGAGTGCAATATCCGAGGCATCAGATGAACACATACATGTATGTGTCGTGTTTATTGCAGACCTAAACTGTCGTTATATCATATGCCTATGCTATTTTTTGCAAAACATAACTCATTATTACTCAATTTTAGTGTTAAATTTCCGTCCCGAAATCTTGAACTTAACAACAATGGAAGGCAAAATGTGGCACCAAGGATGTAATCATGAAGTCAAGTTACCTTAGCCTAAAATGATGATAAAATATGGGAAATAATTCATTCTTGTTCGATAAAAAAATCAAATAACATGTACCTTAACCTAAAATAGCGATAAACTTTTGGGAATGTACCCATTCTTGTTTCATTTTTTACATATGATCACTGTATAATAACAGATAAGATCCAGTCAAAATTGAGTTCCTGCCACAGGGGTAATACAACAACATGTGTTACCCTGTATTTCTTGGCCTGAATAAAAAGGGTTCATCACTCTAGTAATTAAGATTCAACAGCTATGTAATAGATATAATTATACCTATATATATAACAAAGACAAGCACATAAAACAAAGCAACAATACAGCATACCTCAAATAATCCATTAACAAAACAGAAATGATAAATAATTATCTGTACTCTATTCACAGTGAAGTATTTACAAACATGCATACACAGTCACAGCCTGACATACATTTGATAAACCAGCAAGTAACTGCTTTGCTATTTTATTTTTTTTCAGATTGCTTACATCACTGTTTTGAAAATAATAAAACAATTATAGCCTTTAACTTCGGTCGATACCTGGATTTATCGACCCGAGTAAAGTTATATTGACCTCGGACTGCGAATACAAATACATAAAGATATAACTGTACATACTTTTACCAAGAGATATATATATTTACCTGTATTTCCTGTATTTTGGCGGTCAGACTTTCTGATCTGATGAAGGTATCTCCAAAAGCTACTGATGTTGTACACGGGGACCTAGCGAGATCACAAAATCCTTGTCCTGCGAGGAAGTACACTTCCGGAGCTATAGCTGTTGGCACTCTGCATAACTCACCCCCGAAACCATCTTGGCACTGACAGGTACCTGTATAGAAACATTGGGGAAAAAGGTCAAAATAATTCATGGTTGGAAAAATTTCTTACCAGACAATGGCTTTAAACCATTAGACACCACTGCCTGGGCTGCTTGTGTCATCAACTTTGGGTCCAGAAACATGAAATACAGTTTTTTTTTTAAGGTGTTTGTTTTCTGAACACCTAAGTAAAATTTAATCCAAATCAGATGAAATCATTAGAGATGCAGGGGCACTTTCACATCCTAAAAGAAGATTGTAAGAAGCTTCAGAACTTGATACATTAATGACTTTCATTAGATAGGGGCGATGCTTGCGAATTATTCGCTATTGTAGTCATAGTTGGAACTTGTTACTTAACACATTCACCCCTGAAATTTCATAATGGACTATTCCAACCTTTGAATTGGAAGAGTTCAAATGTGTCCTCAGGGGTTGATGAATTAATTGTAAATTAGAATCTGTAAACTCCTATTTTTGGTACCTGAGTGAGTGACCTTGACCTTTATCAGCCAATCCCAAACATGTTGGTTTCTTCCTCCCTTGTAGGGCGACCCACATACCAAGTCTAAGCTTTGTGTGGTCCTTTGTTTTTACGTTAGTACATTGTGTATATGGACAAAAGTTTTGTTTTAAGTCAGAATGACCTTGACCTTTTGACGAATCAGAGGCCCAAGATTGATAGGTTCTTCCTTTTCCCTAATAATGACCCACATACTTAGTTTAAGGGTTTTGTGGTCATATGTTCCAGCGTTTAAGGATTAAGAGATGATTTTTTTTAATTTTCAGTACCAATGACCTTGACCTGTGATCAATGACACCCAAATTTAATAGGGTTCTTCCAAGGTATGACATATAGTTTACTGACTTCAAACTCACCGTCCACACATGTTCCTCTGTTGTTGCAATCTTCATAGCAAATGCCATTTAGAATTGTCGGAGATGGAGTGACCATACGCTGAACCTCTATCAGACACTGTACGATGACGTTCGTCACTAGGGTATGCGTCCAGTTGTAGGAATCAGTGATCTATATATAAATATTGTAAAAAAAACGTGACTGTCTCTGACCCCACATGTAGGAAACATCTCAAGTAATTATAAATCAATGGGAATTCTCAAAGGTTAGTAAAACTAGTCACTCAAGAAGCTTCTTACAAAACTATCAGGTACCGAAACGTCTACAATTCAACAGAATCAGTCAGTCAAATACTCTATATCAACATTTCATTTCCACAATTATTTTTAATTTAGTTTTTTTTGTTAATTACGTATTTCCAGGTTTTTATTATTGAGGATTTGATTTCATGAAATGAACAATGGCATATATATATTTATAGATTTAATATCCTTTACTCAAATATTTTTGAGATATTTGGAAATGCATGATTAAGGCTCTCCTTATGAATAAACAAGAAAATACATATCATACAAAACATGAAAGATTTGCAGTAGAGAAATAGACAATAACAATGCACAGTCGATATATATGAAGACGACTAATCACAGATACATGTTAGTTGTTTAGTTAAATCAGTACCCTGATATCGGTGATACAAGACTCCACAGCCAGGCCCATGTCAATGTTGGTGACGTTTTCACATAGCCGTCCCGCCTGACTATTCGTCAACACTCCCTGACAGTGAGCGCGCGCCATATTCTCCGTTATGTTGGAGGCTGTTGGGAAGCTGTAGTCCTGAAATCAGAGATGTTATAAATAAAAATAAATAAAATAAATATACAACATTTGATATAGCGCCCTATCTAGCTAACATAAGCCACTCTAAAGCGCTTTACAGTACATAGATATTCAATTTTATACAGTCAATGCAATTAGCAAATATATATTAATCAATACAATATTGAGGAATTCGCAGGAGCTGTCTTATCAGGCGCTAACTCCTAGTCCTATGCCACCTGGCTAATATCTCCATATGTGTGTATGCCTGTGTGTGTGCTGGAGATGTATTGTTATATGTTATAATAGATTATCTGAAGAATAGCAAAATTCCACTCAAAGGTAAAGAATTTCGGGCAAAATTCCAAATTATGTACCTGAGGGTGGGATATTTCTTTCCTGCCTAATTTACATGTTGTAGAGTTATTTTCCTGGTTCTCTTATCAATTTATCTGATTGAGATGTGTGGCTGCCAACTTGTGGCAAAATATCAATTTCTTTAATATTGACCAGATTTAAAATTATCTGTATCGGTGGAAAGAAAATGACACAGTAAGTTTTTGCAGACTTGAACTGGCCCCGGAATCATGAAACAATCTTAGACTTAAATGTTTGCTTAGCCAATCATGTATGACGTCACTTTTCATGATGACGATTTTAGACTTTAGTTGTTTCATGATCTCAGGGCCAGGACAACAGCCTAATCTCGCAAACCAATTTCAATCAATCAAAAGTGACCTTAGATATTCAATTTACTACACGTAGGATAATGTTTTTACACTGCAAACCTGATGACGAGGTGGTCACGTTTTCAGAGTAACAGTGCATATGAGCCGTCTTTTGAAATTTTCTCTGACAAAAATGGGAATTTACCTATGAAGTGAGGAAGAATACGTACACTATCATATGGATGTCAAAATTTCAATAAATTTCAGATAATACATTTTATCGATGAGTGCTAAAAGTAAATTCAGAACCGTAACAAATGATACGAATGCTTAGGATGATAGAACCACAAATCATAGAATGACTGTTACCTCGGGTGAGAAGTCTTCCTCTAACTCAAACTGCATGTCCTCTGGGACCTCTCCCTCATCACATCCGAGAGGAGGAAGCTGTTGCATGGCAAGCATGTCTGTTGTCAGGTCGTCTAGACAAAACAATGGTATAACTCGTGGAGTCTCAGGACAATTATCTAGCATTTATTAATACTTCTACTGAACTGCATTAGGTATGGGTGGGTTTGTTTTTACTGAATAACTTTAGTATGTAATGGGGGCTGAAATGAATGGTTACCTGTTTAAAACAGTCGCATTACATTACAACATTATAGGGCACAACACTTGTCTTGGTTTTGCAGTGAAGACGTTTGGAATCAATTCTCTGATTAGCAGTCTGAGGGCTACTATGTCTGCTGCAGTTTAACTTCCACCTTTTTTTCCCCTCCATAAATACCAGATTATAATTGGTTGTGACAGTGAATATTTATAGACAATATACTGCATTATATAGGCATAACATGTGAATTGCAAAATTAACACTGGGCAGTATTTATTCATTTTACCTGTAAAGGGTGAAATTTGATAGACCATAATATATCATACACTCTGGCTAGCCCTGGAGATAGACCATTATATATCATACACTCTGGCTAGCCCTGGAGATAGACCATTATATATCATACACTCTGGCTAGCCCTGGAGATAGACCATTATATATCATACACTCTGGCTAGCCCTGGAGATAGACCATTATATATCATACACTCTGGCTAGCCCTGGAGATAGACCATTATATATCATACACTCTGGCTAGCCCTGGAGATAGACCATTATATATCATACACTCTGGCTAGCCCTGGAGATAGACCATTATATATCATACACTCTGGCTAGCCCTGGAGATAGACCATTATATATCATACACTCTGGCTAGCCCTGGAGATAGACCATTATATATCATACACTCTGGCTAGCCCTGGAGATAGACCATTATATATCATACACTCTGGCTAGCCCTGGAGATAGACCATTATATATCATACACTCTGGCTAGCCCTGGAGATAGACCATTATATATCATACACTCTGGCTAGCCCTGGAGATAGACCATTATATATCATACACTCTGGCTAGCCCTGGAGATAGACCATTATATATCATACACTCTGGCTAGCCCTGGAGATAGACCATTATATATCATACACTCTGGCTAGCCCTGGAGATAGACCATTATATATCATACACTCTGGCTAGCCCTGGAGATAGACCATTATATATCATACACTCTGGCTAGCCCTGGAGATAGACCATTATATATCATACACTCTGGCTAGCCCTGGAGATAGACCATTATATATCATACACTCTGGCTAGCCCTGGAGATAGACCATTATATATCATACACTCTGGCTAGCCCTGGAGATATACCATTATATATCATACACTCTGGCTAGCCCTGGAGATAGACCATAATATATCATACACTCTGGCTATCCCTGGAGATAGACCATTATATAGCATACACTCTGGCTAGCCCTGGAGATAGACCAGCTGTTGTCCCAGTAGGCCATCTTAGATGATAGAAGATTGGATGTCACATTTTAATTCTTCCAATGACTGACAAAACACCTACTATCATGTATACCATAAAACACACATTTAGGCCGCATTCCTTTATCGTGATCCAAACGGTTGAACTGCATGGTTGGACCAGAGTTGTTCATTTATGAAATAAGGTCAGACCTTGTAATCTGATGCTGCTTTCAGGCGAGCCCTGACAAAGCATTGCAAGACCTGGATTGATACTTGAAAATGTTACAAACCAGTTGAACCGGATACGCGAAAAAGGCCTTACTTTATATATTATTGCCAGATTCAAAATTGCTATAACTGAAACATAAAATGCTGCAGCTCAGCAGGGTATTTTTTTATATATATTTTACAGGTCATTGCTACTTACACCCTGGTAGCTTGTCAACGGGACATGGCTCAGCATCCATTCTCAGGTTGCAGGTCTGGTTATCTCCCCTGCCACAGTCACATGACCCAAAAGTACGTGAGGGTTTCACCTGGTTACAGTGTCCGTTGTATAAGGTCTCATTCTGAGGTACCCTGAGGATGACGAAGACTTGATGACAATCTATACTTCATTGTTTTTTTTTATTTATAGCTTTTTATTTAGATGTCTATTGCACAGCCTCTAGATACACCTGTTGACTTAAACCTGTTTTTATCAAAGCATACTACCATGTGAAAACCTTCTCACTAGAAACCGTCATTCATTCTGTTATGCTATTAAAACTAGCACTGTAATGTAAGCCAAAGGCTAACTAATACCCATCATTCCAGCAGGATATTAACTAAAATGAAGTTAATTGTAATGTACATTTATATCAGGTAGTGACATAAAACCAGTTTCATTCGAGTGAGTATAAGCTTTACCGTAAACCTTTTTTTTCATGGTCCCTAACTTTGAAGGACTTGCTAAATTGGTCTCAAGGCTCACACAGTGCTACAGCAAGGACGGATTAAGTCTCTATTTGTTTCGTGGATGCATAATTCATGAAAACATTGTTGCCGCAAATAGGACAAATATTAGAACCCCTCTAAATGTTGGTAAAGTATTCTTAACAAAACCAAGTGCAAATCAGATTGAACAAGACTTGGCCAAGGATTTCACAGAAGTTGAATAACCCAAAAAATAGCCAGATTGCAAATAACAGCAAGTGCAAAACTTCAGAGTGCCATAATATCTATAGAGTTTCACAAAATTTGCATGAAAACTGTAGGAGGATTTACCTGTGAAAGGGATATAACCCCCTTAAAAAAAAAAAAAGAAGCAAAGTTTTTCCCCCCCCCCCCCCCTCCCTCAAGGGGCTACAAGATTCACTAAAGTAAATTCAGTAGGAAATAGTGGGTTCTCCCTAGTAAAGTCAGGAACAAGGGACTTACTACCAAGAGAGGGAGATGGTTGTATACTTACTTCCAGGAGAGGATGAAGGGGTCGGGTCTTCGTCCTGGAACAGTATAAAGGGACTTATCCCTCTTCTGCAGGTCGTTGTTATGGTCTCCATCAAAAGTTCCACAAAGGCCTATAATAAATACATACACAAATACAGTAAAACCTTGTGATACTGCCACACATTGTCCAGAGAAATTTTGGCATTATAAAGGGGTTTGGCAATAAATTGAGGGAAAAGTATAAAAGGGACTTCATAGGAAAACGAGAACAAAATGACATTGAAATATGTTGCAGGTAAACGAGGTGGCAAATGAAATGAGGGGCATTATATCGAGGTTTTACTGTTTATCAAAAAGCATTATATTTCAACATCACAGAAACAGATTGAGGTAGAACCTGGCCATTTTTTTTATAAAAATATAATAAAAATAAAAATCATATTCCTCACTTCTTATAATCTTTGGATTGCTTTGTAAACTTTCATTTGAAAAATTGAAAGTGAAATCATTATCTCTTTTGCAATTATTCAAACCTATATTTACCATTTAATTTCTATCATCACAACCAACAGTAGAGATATTTTAATTCTTGAAAAGGGTTTTTAGTTTTGAAGGTAAACTATAGGGAGAATCCCTACAATATAGGGAGACATTAAGTGCATGTAACTCAACATGACTAATGTATGTATTGTTGGTGGTCGGGGTCACCTACTTAACCACGTGGGTTTTCTCTGGGTACTCTGGTTTCCTCCCACAGTAAGACCCCCCTCGCTAACATCCAGGCAAACAAGAGTGGTTAGTGTAAGTTAATATTACATGTTTTATAAATGTTAAAAATAAATAAACTTTATATTCAACACGACTTACCCTCGGTTTTGTTGAAGTCGGTGCTCGACGGCTGAATCCAGATGTGGAGATACTGCCAGGAGTTGACATCACTGAGACCGACATGTACAACAGTGCCAGTGGGTAGGTGAGCCTAAATGACAATAAGGGATGAGTAAGGCAGACATATCATGATAATGTCTAAAGGACAGTTACTCACTCAATTATCAACTGTGAATGATCAGGAAAAAACCCTATCATACCTCATATGAAAATCCTCCGTTCAATTGCTGCAATCTGAAGCCCGGGGTCAGTTCACCGTTGACGTAGTAATGCATTAAGAATGGCCACTTGGTGGCTGGATTTTTCCTAGCTCCGCATCTGTCCAGCACAAAGACGTCATCCAGTAGTTTGATGGCCACAGCACAGTTACAGGTCAACTGACCATTACATCGTCGGTACAGCACATGTACCTGGCAAAGTTAGCACACCTTAATTAAACTAATGTATAATGTAAATTGTCTATACTTCACGAGAGACTGTATCCCCCTTTTTATACACCCTTGACATTATGTATTAGGTAGTATCCTTAAATACAAAATGTTGTATCTACAGCATAATGTAACATATTTTGATCACATGTTTTGTACTGGAACTAAAGTTCATTTACACTTGGGTATACGTTTGGTACAGAAATCACACTAACCACGGACAGACTTTGTACTTACAGCATACTGTAACTCTCTATGTCGGTACAGGACAAACTCCCCCTCGTAAAAGTTGGTGTAGTAACTAAGAAAAGAAGTACAAAACTTAATGCAATATTTCATTTTCCCCAAATACAATATCAATCTCCTGTATACTTGGACATTTTCGCACAGTCAAACTTTCCTCCTTTGCAGATGAAATCAATTTTTCGTCCAGTATTGATTTCGCCCTGCACATTTCATTACTATGTATATTTTGTTGTCTACTTATATTCGCTGTTATGATACATTTGCACTAATCACGGAGGGCGAAAAAGGCGATCATTAAACTGCAGCGAAAATGCCCCTGTATACAGTAAATCGTTATCATTACTGGTCTTTATTATTAAATACAGCGATTCAGCATCAAATGCCAATTAGAGTGGCCAAATTTGATTTTAAATCAGGATAAAGAATCGAGAACATTTAGTCAAGGTCTGGAAAGGAACTCGATTTTCAACGGGATTTAGCCGAAATCAGTATCGTGACATTTGCTAAGAATTTGAAATATTGGATTTTGAATTTTTGAATAACACTTAGTCAGGGTCATAAAAGGGTTACAACGGTTGGCAAATCTCTTACCTGCCATCGAATGTGATGATGTTAGGACTATTTACGGAGCTACAGAGCCCGGGATTATCCATATCCACAGCCGTCACCTCCAAAGTCTCAAACTCTATGGAAGCGGACATTGTTCCATTTTCCGATATCTGTCCAGAGATACTAACTGGCCGGATGTGATCTCCATCATAGATTCCGTCAAGTTTGGCTCCTACCCTCACTTTGTGAATTGATCTGGGAGGAAGATAAAAATGGGACCACCATCAATACACTGAAGGAAGGTGTTTTATCCAGATCAGGCTAACAAATACCCCCAAGTGTCCCTCCATATACATTTATTAGCTGTCATCAAAAATGCCTCTGATTTGTAATCCTTACACCCTTGGTTTAAAAGTTCCATCTCCGCCTACCCACATATGATAGACTTTATTAATCTTGTTCAAATGTGAAGTTTACATATGTAGAAATAGGGAGGAATAGAGAGATTTTTCAGACTGTATTGACTTAAAATTTGTCAGAACCAGAACTGTAAGCCTAAGGGTAAAATCAATTTGCTACAATAATATCAGTAGCAATTTACAAATATGTGTAGTAAGCTTTATTTAAATCTATTAAAGGATTTCAGGAGCAAATTAATCTCAACATATATACAGCATAAGACATGACTAAAAATTTAATACAGGTAGTGTTTTATAATTCTTTTCATAAAAAGCTGAATTGAAATAATAAATACAGGTACTGGTATATTATATGATGTTTACATAAATGAGTTTCACAACTCTAAGAGGAGTTGTCAAGACAAGAAGATTACGTCTAACAGACAGACAAGTACATCACCTTAACAGTCCTTGCTGCAGGGTGTATAAACTATCGGATAGGCACAAAAAATCTAAAAAAGCTTGAAATCTTTGACCACTAACCTCCAGTTCTCCATGGTAACCATGACCCCACATGACAGGTCCTCCATGTCGTCACCTGATCCAATGACCAGTTGTTGTACGGTGGACTGGTCAGTGCAGGTCAAGTCATCTTCTGAAGAGTTGACCGCTGCCTTGATATAGACATGGCAGTCCTTAGGGAAGACTGACGGCCCACACAAAAATGATGGTGGAGCCATTAACTGTACACTGACCATCTCCCCCTCCTCACCTTCCTTCACTCTCAAGGTTGTGGAGGATAAAACCTGAAAGGTCAAGGTTGTGGATGATAAAACCTAAAAGGTCAAGGTTGTAAGTGATACATCCTGAAAGGTCAAGGTTGTGGATGATAAAACCTGAAAGGTCAAGGTTGTGGATGATAAAACCTGCAAGGTCAAGGTTGTGGATGATAAATACTGAAAGGTCAAGGTTGTGGATGATAAAACCTGAAAGGTCAAGGTTGTAGATGATAAAACCTGAAAGGTCAAGGTTGTAAATGATAACACCTGAAATGTAAAGATCATAGACAATAGAACATATACATGTACATAAAAAATAAATATGGGGCCAGACCACAGGGGAGAGGGTTGCACACCCTCCATTTATACAACATATTAAGTCTCCTTGGCTCAACTATATTCCAGACTAAATTCTCAGCCTTTGTGGAGTGAATTTAAAGGAAAGTTTAAATGAAAGATTGATGATGGGTAGAGTTCGCATCATGGCATATATAAGGTTAAAATGATAAAAATGTTAAGACCATGGAACTGTTTGAAAAAAAAAGCAAAGATTTTATTTCTAAGCATGAGTGATGTATACACAATTTCTATAGACAGACACTTATGTGTACAGTGACTGTTAGTGGTACACTCTGTCTGAACGCCCCTACTGTCTCGTTACAGCTACCCTGTATACATGGTATCTATAGACAGAAACTTACCTGTACAGTGACTGTGAGTGGTACACTCTGTCTGAACGCCTCTACTGTCTCGTTACAGCTTCTCTGTATACATGGTATCTACAGACAGACACTTACCTGTACAGTGACTGTGAGTGGTACACTCTGTCTGAACGCCTCTACTGTCTCGTTACAGCTACCCTGTACACATGGTATCTACAGACAGACACTTACCTGTACAGTGACTGTGAGTGGTACACTCTGTCTGAACGCCCCTTCTGTCTCGTTACAGCTACCCTGTACACACAGTAGCTATAGACAGACACTTACCTGTACAGTGACTGTGAGTGGTACACTCTGTCTGAATGCCCCTACTGTCTCGTTACAGCTACCCTGTATACACGCTGACACTCCACAAGACAGCTGAAACAAAAGACAATTTTTGTCAATAAAAATGCTTTTTTGTGCACTCTCATTCCCGTTCTTTTGTCTGACAGTATTGATGTGACAGAATGGTTTCAAACCATGACTTTTTTAAGTATCCAACAGTGACCTTGGTAGGTATCGAACAGTGACCCTGACAGTTAATGAATAGTGACCTTGATAGTTAACAAATAGTGACCTTGATAGTTAACAAATAGTGACCTTGACAGTTAACAAACAATGACCTTGATAGGTATCAAACAGTGACCTTGATAGTTAACAAATAGTGACCTTGATAGTTAACAAATAGTGACCTTACAATTTATAAATATCAAACAATGAGCTTAACTGATAGCTTCAAACAGTGACCTTGACAAGTATCAAACAGTGACCTTGACAGGTATCAGTTACCTTGAAAGGCATCAAACTGTGACCTTGACAGGTATCAGTTACCTTGACAGGCATCAAACTGTGACCTTGACAGGTATCAGTTACCTTGAAAGGTATCAAACTGTGACCTTGACAGGTATCAGTTACCTTGAAAGGCATCAAACAATGACCTTTTTATGTTACAAATAGCGACCTTAATAAGCATCAAATCTTACTTTTGTACCAAATGGTAAATCTGCCAGGTAACTCCGATCCAGGTAGTAATGAGCCGTGTCATCCATTGACGTCATCCATTTCCCCTGCATGACGATGTTATCATTGATCAGCCACCGGATCTGGTACTCCATTGTACTTGTGACGGATGGAATGGTCATAAAGCTACATTTCAGCGTCTGGTTGTTCTTGTCTTCTCCGGGAACCATAGCAACAGACACCTTTGGATTGCTCTTCAGTATTGGAAAGTTACTACCTGAAAAAATTGGGTGAGAGTTTTAAACATGTAAACTGCTATATTGTCTCCTTGAATTTTTCAAAATATATTTACCTTTTCATTTTGTATTTCAATTAATGGAAATATCTCGATAGGTTGAATTTGTGTTACCTTTTGTTGAATTTAACCACTAAATGATACATGGGCCTGAAAGTTAAGGAAGATAAAATTAATTTTCCCTTTATAGATAACTTAACAAAAATGCAATTTGCTCATGCTGCAGACATCTAAATGATAATGTTTTATCACTACACTAGTGTTCCTGTTACAATATTACAAATATTTCCTTTATAGTTTTATAACAGAATGTTTGATTTGTCTAACAATTATCTATACAATAAATTGTTTAGATCAAGGGTAAAAACGGGTGTGATCCAATGAAACCTCAGGCAACATGAAATTTGATGTTGCAAAGTCATCATAAAACTGTTCTGTGCTTGACAAACTTCCATAGCATTTATAATCTAAACCTGAAAAATAAGTTTCTCAAAAAGATTTTTATAAGATCTTGACAATGGCTAATCTGTGACTTAGCGGCAGAAGTGTAATTAAATTTCATAACTTAAAGTACGCAAACATTTTTACACTCAGAGCATTTTGGTTGAGTTCTATTCTTTCTTTTATCCGTAATATATTTGGAGTTCCACAAAGCATGTTTTTCATTTTAGAAATGTTTTATCAAAGCTATATATATATATATAGTTATGTCGGAAAAAAAGGTTTTCAATGAGTAATTACAAATTTTGGCAACAGTACATGGATCCTTAAAGTACACTAAAATCCAATACCTGATCTGCAGCTCCACTCCATGTAGATAAACCCTGACCAGACAACAAAGTCGGACAAAACGTCCAATCTTTTTATGTCCATCAACGTACAAAGGCCGTCTTGGATATGAAACGAACGACACAAGAAGTCTGTCTCAGACAGACAAAGTCGCTGGCATTCATTGATCAGTGTGACTCCCATCACTGTCTTCCTCTTATGGCCGATGATGGTATAGCCGGGGAAACGCTGCCACTCAACACCTCGTTTTCCACATGGATCTGGAATAGGAACAAAGTCAATTAAAAGACAGCAATGTTCTGTTTAGTATAAAGAGTATTGTCTTTTCATGGGAGTATTATTTCATTAAATTGGCTGATTAGATCCTTGGCTTATAAATCAACTTTTGTTTACAGGGGCAGATCCAGAAGGCAAGGGAACAAGACTCTGATGAATTGAATCTTAAAATTACTTGGTTTAAGTTAAGATTCTTCATAAAACCTGCTGGATAAGTAATGATGTGACTTTAAAACATTCCAATCCCCCACTTGTACAATTGTAATGGAACCTCGATAATCCAGACATTTTTTCCAGCAAAAGAGGATTGATTGCAAGACAACAATATTACAGGTGATCATAAAGCATGGAAAAAGTCCAATTTGTTCCCTAAAGCACTAGCTGGCTATATATAGGTCAACCAAATTTGTGGCTACACTTAGGCCCACATTGTTAATGTTAAAATCCAGACACAAAAATTCATGAATATCTTCTTTATTTTTGGTGAAGAGTGGAGTGTAACTGAACCTACCAAGAACCATGTTTGGCCCTAGTTCTCAAGCCCAAAAGGGGCCATGCACTCCCTTCATTTATACAAAGTCGTATTCCGGGAATGCTAGTCTCATTATCACAGCCGAAATTTACATTTCAAGGTCGCTGAACTTAATGATCACATACCATTCTGACACTGCCATTCGAAGAGTGCCAAGTCCTTCTCTTCAGCTCTTTCAGCTCCAAACGCCAAGGTGTCCTTCAGGTTGAGTGTGCAGTTGTCGGAGGAAGCGTTATAGGTAAATGACTGACAAATTTTGTCTGCTTCGTAGTTTGAAAGACATGCATCTTGACAGTTGTTGACATCTCCGTTACTTTCGACATCCTCCAAAGCCATGCCCATGATGTCACTTCCTGTGTACTGGTACCAGGTCAGATCCAAAATTTCACACGAATCTTTAAAACAAATATATTATTAAGGAATTTTTTGAAAGATTTATTCTACATTTGGATGATAATAATGATATACAACAGTTATATGGCGTCCTATAAAATTTAAAAAAATCCTCCAAGGCGCTTTACAATACGTGAATAATAACTTATACATAATAGCAATGCTCTTTTACTGCATGCAATTTATAGATAACTGTTGAAATGGCTTAAATAGAAATATTCAAATCAATTCATTACTTTTGAATACATAACAATTATCAGAACATCTTTGGAAGTCATCCGAAATCTTCTTTAATTCTGTTCTATTCCCTTATTTTGACTGATTGTACTACTGCAGGCTAATTAAACACAGGATATTTTTATGGAAGTTTTACATTAACTTCTCTAAAAAATGATTTGGTGCTTTCAATTTACTGAAACAAGCACAAACAATTCATTGCAGCAAACCAAGAAAATCATCAAGTTCTCTGAGGGAAAAAGAACAAAAAGAAGAAAAGAAAAAAGAAAAAAAGGAAAAAAAAAGACCCCCCCCCCCCCCCCACAAAGTCACCTCTGCTCTTCTCCAAACTTACCATTCGCCATCTGCCATTGTGATGTGTTGACCATTGGGTCACACAACTCTCTACTGTTGGAAGGGTTATACTCGCCAGCCTCATAGCACACATCGTTTATCAAACATGAGGTGTTCTGTCAGAAAATAACAAGCAGAGGAACAATAAATCTTATATACTTTTTTTTTGGTGCTGTGGTACATATTTACCATCAAAGATTCCATGTATACATTTATCAGTTATATTGTCCTTCTACCTTTTGAAAACAATTTAGATTTAGATTTACAAGAGGCCTATAGGGTGAGTATATTTCAAACAACCATATGTTTCAAAACAATGAATTACCTTTGCCAAGGAATTGTCTAAACTGAGTTCAGTCAAAATCATTTCAGCTGTTCTTGATTAAAATTCTTTTAAAGCAAAAATTGGCAGAAAATGACATAAGTTTACTTATTTAGTTCAAATAGGCTAAGCATGCACATTTCTTACCCAAATAATCAGGATAAATGCTGTTTAAATTACATTCACATTGGGAAAAGAGTTGAAACAGAACCCATATCGATAGAGTAAAACACTGGTAAGGCTTAGAAATAAACTCGAATTTATAAATTTACTTTTTTTCACAGCCTTTACCAGAAACCACAAGTGTTTATTTTTGCTTAACTCATTCACCCCTGCATTTTTAAAATGGACTTGCCCAGTCTTTGATTTGGTAAGGTTTAAATGTGACGTTAGGGTAAATAGTGTTAGTTGTCCTACCTTTGGTGAACAGGTCATGGTTGAGACGTCACAGGTGAAGCAGAGAGAGTTGTACACCAAGAAGTAGGCCTTGTTACTTAGTGCTTGTGTCCCGTTGTTACTGATGCGGATCTCGTAACTTCCCTCAGAGGGTAGGGGACAGGTGAGCTCGTTGAACGACACAAAAGTGGCTGGTACAGTGGTCGACTCATTCATAACTGTGAACGAGGTCTCGTTCAGCTGTATAGAAAAGTTCAATCAAGACAGTTATATCACAATAATTCCGATAAAAGCCTGCATAATATGTCAATCAGATACCATATTTATCTGGTAATAAGCCCATGCCTGGTAATAAGCCCACCAATATATATTGCAGATCAGGAAAAATTTATTCAGATATGATGTGTTTTCTACATACACAAACACCTGGTTCATAAACCCTGGTTTATATAATTTTCTTTGTAGGGACAATGTCTGGTTCAAATCATTTTCTACATTGTGCAATTCACCTGTCAATATAGTGAACGTTTTAATACATCTACACTTGACAAAAGATTTACATTTTTTGACAGTCATATGAATAGAAATTTTGCCATCTCCTGTCCACAATTCTGATATCTTAATAAAATTTCAAGTATATATTCAAAGATTTTTACATGTGATAGAAGAATTCAGACAGATTTAAAATCTCCAACATTAAAATAAGACAGGTGCTATTTTTTCACCTGTTTTGACCCACATAACTACAAAATTAGATCAAGGTCGTTAATTTGGACAAAGTTATGAGATGACCTGTTTCAGCATGTTAAAAAGTTTAAAAATTTAAGCATTTTTTTATTTATTTTTTATTTTATTACCGTTGCTAGCAAAATAAGACAGGTGCTATTTTTTCACCTGTTTTGACCCACATAACTAATTTGGACAAAGTTGGAAGATGACCTGTTCACCTTACCTTAATCTTTGTGAAGATACAGCTGAGAGTATCCTGGTCGAGTGTGTTGTTACTATATACAGACACAGTGGTACAGAGGGCACTTCTCAGGTCACAGAGACCGTTATGACTGAGGGAGAATATGTTAGGGGAGTCTGTTAGCTTCGTGAAGCAATCCAGTCCAGCAAATCCTTCATTACAATTGCAAGCTCCTGACAAATACAAATGAAGTTTAAGTGTCATTCCTTACATATTTCAACATTAATTAATTTATCAGTATTCTGTAAATAAAATAAAGTTTTTAGGGAGTACAATTTTTTTTAAATGAATTTTAAAACAATATCTTTGGTGATGTTAAAAAATGTATATGTTGTATCGCATGAAATATTACATATTTATTTTATGGAGAAACTCTATTATACATAATAAATCAAAACTTGAAAAAAATTAACAACAGACCTTATTTTGAACTTTTACATAAACTAATGGCATATTAAGAAAACTCATAACTAAATCCGTCTTTCGAATTAATGACCTCTGAACTTACCTTTGACGCATGTTCCTGCACCACCACATTCGTGGAGACAGATCTTGTCGAGAATTGCTCGAGATGGACCAACATGGGACGTGTCCGTACTCTGTACCCATCCATTTATGTTATTGTTTACGTGAATCTCGCACTGTTCCTTAACGTTCTCGACTGGGGTCAAACTCCAGCGCAAATCATCTGTGATCTGGAACAAGATGGGTTACAGATTCTACACTAATATGTCTAGTTAAAGCCAGTGGGAGACTATTAGTCTCTAACCCCCTTTGGGGTGAGATAGGGAAACCTCAACCCAAGGGGGGAGATTCTTAAGTTGCCAAACACAAGGCTTTGCCAAGTGTTTGTCAACTTTAGAACCTTTCCCTGAGGGTTGAGATTTCCCTATCTCACACACAAAAAGGTGAATGATTCTTTTCCTCTTACCCTGTTCTCCCATTGTGTATCATATACGTAATGTAATGTTAACGTTACAGGCTAAATTCAGGGTTAATGTGACATTGGTGGATTGTCGACGTGACGATGTCATACCATTGTTAGGAATAGGGGAATCCTCCCGTCTCAACCCTAGGGTGAGACAAGGATATCTCACATCGGTAAAAGTGTGGATATACACCTGTCCAGGGTAAGAGCAGATAATTTCAAAACACAAGGCTTTCATAGTGTTACATTTATCTTGTATTCAATGTTAGGTCTGAATATGAAACATGCAAAATAATCATAGATGTGTTTAGTCCTTCATTTCTAAAAAAACCCAGTTAAAAACTAACTTCAACCGGATATCCACGCTGTGGCAGTGTCGATATCAACTTTATCTCAAACCTTACCTTACCGGGGTTGTTATATGAACAACACACGATCTATTGTAGGTGGGTTTACTGGTAAATTAAGTCATGTTTGTGACTCTGCTGTTGCCCCATGTTTAACTAACTTACCTGCAGTGTACTTAATGCATATACCGAAATAGCCAGTCACTGTAGAGTTCGACTCTACTGGGTGGTGGAGTTGCACGAATTTCAATCCCTGCGAAATATTTTGCAAATATTAGCCCCACAAAATTAAACAACTACACAGTAATTACGTGTTACGAACTTTTAACGTACCTGTATGTCATCGACACAGTTCTGTAAACTAGCGTCATATTCTACACCCGGCACTGTCTTGCAAGTTGTTGCTGCCTCCGAATTTTCCACAGATGACTTACACACGCTTTCGACAACAGCCTGTGAAAATCCTAATGATGTTGGCCAAGATGGCTCCTGTTAATTTGTAGAACAAAATCAATTACCGGTAACAGAAAAATCACAAATAAGACACTTGGTTAACGCAAATCACAGAAAAATCACAAATAAGACACTTGGTTAACGCAAATCACAGAAAACTCACAAATACGACACTTGGTTAACGCAAATCACAGAAAAAAAGACCTGATGACGCTGATCTTGTGATGAAGATTACATTACGTAGATACACTAGTTGTTCATGTATTTATGAAGTATTTTTGTCCTTATACATTAAAGACTTGATGCAAATTGGAATGTAAGAATGCCCAGTGGCAGCTCCTATCCTAGATCTACTAGATCAACATAATTATGTTTTGCAAAAAAAACCACATTTTTTTCTTACTTTTTCTTCCAATAACAAATTAAAGAAGATCCAATTAATTTGTGGAATAGAAATGTTTTAAGTTCAATTTTACCTGGATAAACTAATGTCCACAAGATGTTTTAATTTCCAAACATCCTTCTTTTTAAAGTAACACAAGTAAGGGAGATAAATCAAGAGCCTTGGAAGGGACGGACAGATGGTATATTATACCAATTCAAGCTAGCAATGTTGATGCTGAACTGTGGTTCTGTAGGGACGTCAATCAGAAATTGATATCAAAACAAGGCGTTTTAAAGCAAATTTTGCTAAGTTCCCCTTCAGGGCCCCGCCCCCCTGGCCTCAGGGATTGAACTAACCTCATTTATTTATTCATTTGCCCTCCCTTACTGATACTTCAGACTGAATTTGGTTGAAATCTTCTCTGGCGTTTAGGAGGAGATGCATTTTAAAGCAAATTTAGCTAAGTTCCCCTACAGGGCCCTGCTTCCCTGGCCTCAGGGGTTGAACCAACCTCATTTATTTAGGAAATAATTGCCCTTTCCTACTGATGCTTCAGACTTAATTTGGTTGAAATCCTCCCTGGCGTTTAGCAGGAGATGCGTTTTAAAGCAAGTTTAGCTAAGTTCCCCTTCAGGGCCCCGCCCCCCTGGCCTCAGGCGTCAAACCAACCTCATTTATGTAAGAAATTATTGCCCGTCCCTACTGATGCTTCAGACTAAATTTGGTTGAAACGCTCTTTGGCGTTTAGGAGAAGATAGGTTTTAAAGAAAAAGTTGGCGATGGACGACGACGGACGACGGATACTTTCTAATAATACAATGGTGTTGAAATTTGATGAGCTGGGGCTTATAAAGCCGTACAACATTGTAAAGAATTGCTTATTACTTTTTTACCTGGACCAATTACCACGGAAATCTAATCAGGTATATATAGAACTTGATGTTTCAATTCTCTGATGAAATGTGACCTTTGACCCTACAATCTGAATGACCAATGACCATTAAAATCTCATCAGGTAAAGAACTTGATGTTGCAATTCTCGGATGTAACTACTTGTAGTAGCTAAATCTGCTGAGGGTTCTGTGAGATAACTTGTCTAGAAGCTTAATTATTTTACTTCAAAGGGGTCAAATGTGACCTTTGACCCTATGACCTCAATGAACATGTAATGTCCATCAAAATGTCATCAGGTGTAAAATTTGAATGTTGCTAATACTATGATAGCAACTACATCTGTCAAGGGTACTGTGAGTTAATTAGCTTGTACATCAGCTTTTTACTTCAAGAGAGATCATGAGCTTTGACCCTTTCATCTTGACTGATGACCCCCAGAATATAATCAGGGGTAGAGCTTAATGGTAAATTTATTGAGGGGTTCATGAGACATTCTGAACAGAAGTTTTTATTATTGACATCCGCCTTGACATGACCTTGGCTGTTACAAGGTCATTAAACCCTGCCTTGACATGACATTAAACCCTGCCTTGACATGACATTAAACCCCGCCTTGACATGACCTTGACTGTTACAAGGACATTAAACCCTGCCTTGACATGACATTAACCCCCGCCTTGACATGACCTTGACTGTTACAAGGACATTAACCCCTGCCTTGACATGACATTAAACCCCGCCTTGACATGACCTTGACTGTTACAAGGACATTAAACCCTGCCTTCACATGACAATAAACCCCGCCTTCACATGACCTTGACTGTTACAAGGACATTAAACCCTGCCTATTAAACCCCGCCTTGACATGACCATGGCTATTATGAGGACAATAAACCCCGCCTTCACATGACCTTGGCTGTCACAAGGACATTCAAACTTATAAAAACAAATTAAACAGCCACAGACAAAGGGATTCCTATACACCCCCTTACTTTAAAGTCGGTGGCAGAATGACAATATCTATGGAGAAACTCACTTCAACAAAGTAAGCAGGGTCATAGTCAAACGTAGGGTACTGTAAGCTCGCCCCTTGCACACATTTTGTAGGGAAGGCAGCCTTGGATATGACATCACTAGTGATATCCTCCCCTGTAATGTAAAGTATACAAATTATAATGACACACAAAAGTGGAAATTGAAGACCAACTATCTTTATTTTCGTAATACCTAACACAATGCCTGCCTCAAAGTAAGTTACTTATTTGTAAGTTACATACAATAAAATAGAAATCAGTTACGAAGATACTTTGGAAAATGGCCCCCTTTTTTTCTTTTTTTTTTTTAACTAATTTTTTTTTTAACATGTCATCGGGTCAAAAATAATTGTGAATTGACAAATTTATGTTTTGGTTGAAACACCAGGTACATTCTTTTCAAAGAATTATAATAAGAATCAGGTCCTTTATACTGATTATTATTCCTAATATATTTGCAATGTGTTGAAATCATGATGATGACGTTAAGTCTGCTGCAATAAATGTGTCTTTAATATACTATTAAAGATACATACTATCTTGACTATTAAACAAGGTACTAGGATTACGCTGGATCCAGCTTTCAAAAGAATTCAGAGGTCCGAAGAGTTCAGAAGTCAGAAAGAGTTCATAGGTCAATCAAGAATTAATTAACTACACCTGAGGAAAGCATCCAAATACTGACGTTTAAGTCACGAAAGCATCCAAATACCCTAGTCTGAGATAGTCTGTTAGAGCAAGGAAAACATTGGAACAATCAAATCTGAGATAGTCTGTTAGGGCAAGGAAAACATTAGGACAATCAATTCTGAGATAATCTGTTAGAGCAAGGAAAACATTGGAACAATCAAGTCTGAGATAGTCTGTTAGGGCAAGGAAAACATTAGGACAATCAAGTCTGAGATAGTCTGTTAGGGCAAGGATCACATTAGGACAATCAAGTCTGAGATAATCTGTTAGGGCAAGGAAAACATTAGGACAATCAATTCTGAGATAGTCTGTTAGAGCAAGGAAAACATTAGGACAATCAAGACTTAATTATTCAGTCAAAGCAACAAAAACATCAAAACATTTAAGTCTTAGTTATTAAGTCAAAGCAACAAAAACATCCGAACATTTAAGTCTTAGCTATTTAGTCAAAGCAACGAAAACATCCAAACAGTTTAGTCTTAGCTATTTAGTCAAAGCAGGGAAAATATTCAGACCATCAAGTCTTAGATATTCTGTTTTGGCAACGGAAACATCAAAATATTTAAGTTTTGGCTATTCAGTCAGGGAGAGAAAAACAAAGATTTTAGGAACAGGAAGATGCTTGCTAAAGAAGATGGATTCACATGAGAAATCCAACTTAAAATATTTCTAGTTCTGTACTTTCTGTTCCACAAATTTCGACACTCAGTTTAATTAATGTTCTATCAGATTTTATAGGACAATTTACAAATCATACATTTATTTTAGCTGTCATATTTCAAAATCAATAGAAATTTCAACTTAAAAGATTGACATCAGCACTCACAGACTGATCAGTGCATGATTTAATTGACTTGATTCAAAGATGTACAACAATTAATTTTCATGATATTTTTTGATTTTTTTGCAATTCAGTTTTTTATCAACTTATTGATTTGGGTTTGAATTCAAGCAAATCACAGTCATAGCAAATATAACTCAGCTTGTCCTAATATCTTATTGCAACACCACGGCAGTTTTTGTGATCAACTCTTCATAAAATACAAAACCGTCATTTCATTAATTCTTATCAGCATAAATAGGCGCAAGTCATATAAAACTGAATTGTAAAAACAACTAGAAGATGCATGTATTAGAAGAGAAAGGGTTACCTATAATGGAGATTTGCTTATAATTACCGGTACTGTAAAAATTGAAATTTTTGCGGGGTGGAAATGCTCACATTTTCTGCATTTTTTACATTAATTAACACAAAAATATCCACACATGATTATATATTTATAGATTACATAGTAGAATATATAATTTCCTAACCATTGCTAATGCAATAATACACACACCATGATTAAAGAAAAGAGTCATAATACAAACATTTCCACACGCAAGAATTTCTACATTTACAGTAACCATGAAAAAAGACTGTTTTTTAGAAGTTTTAATATGTGGTTTGAAAGTTATCTGGGTCATTCTCATACTTACTGCTTTGTGGACCAACTGTGTTTAACAAATCAACAAACCATATTTATATAAAAATGATGAAACTAGATTTGTGTCAAGTATAAGTTGATGGGATTAGTGGACGAGCTTGAATGAAATCTTTGGGGTGTCCACTGTCCATAACTTTGAAGGTAGCACATTACTCACATGTTCACGATTATATCTTGATGAAGTGTTTTAGACACAGAAGATCAACAGAAGACAACTTCAGTACACAAACCTGACCGATACATTTGGTATTAGAATAAAAAAGAAGTCTTGTACACAAGGTTTTCACTTCAAAAGTGAAAAAGGCATCACAAGTGATACAAATCCCCTAGCATCCACACATTGTGACATATGTAAGAGGAAATGAAGTCACTAGAGCGATGACAAAGGTTTTTTTCTAAAATTTGTAACAGTGACCTTGACCTTCAACGTAGAAACCCAAAACAAGAATTTTTTAAAACATTCCTGTTGTCATGCCAATTACTTGTATGAAGTTTCATGAAAATGAAATTCTGTTGAGGAATGAAGTCGCTAGAGCGATGACAAAGAGTGTAACATACGTTTCTAAGGGCGAAATCCTATATCCCCACAAACTTTCGTTGCGAGGGGATAATCAGTGTTACCTTTGACCCTTTAACCTTAACTGCTGATCTCAAAAATCAACTGAGTGCAGAGCTGGATGTTGCAGTACTATATATGATGTTAATACAAACAACATCTATTGAGGGGGCCTTGAGATAACTGTACGTAGACATTATATTTCAAAAGTGGTCATTTAAATAAGTGTGACCTTTAACCTTTAACCTTGACTGGTGACCACCAATATCTATTTAGGTTATGTAACCATGAAATTATATAATTAAAAACTAATCTGTTATTGAAATGTTTGTGTGATGTCTTCACCAAATTTTTCCAAATTCATACTGCTGTTCTGGAGAAGAAGTTTTTTAAACAAAAAGTTGACAGATGACTGATGGACACGAGAATAAAAGATGTATTTACCATCCTCTTCGTATGGGCAGGTGAAGACGTCATATCCTACGCCACACTCTTCACTTCCTGTCATTCCGCAGTAACAGAAACGCTGCTGAAACGGGGTTGGATCAATACCAGCCGTGTCAGACGAACAAACTCCATTGTAAATAGTGTCAGCAGGATCAACTCTGTCAGAAGAGATTAATTCTGTCAGAAATGATGATTTATTCAACAGACATTATGATCTTCGTATATCATTCCACAGAACAATAGATTTGAAAACTAGAAATCATCTTTAAGACATGAATGCCACCTTGGCAGATTGATACTTGTTTCAAATATGTTCGTTGCCAACTGCATTCACACTACCGTATACGCTGTAAAAATGTAGATCAATCCTTAAATATCACAAGGAATGTGTTTTGTTATGATTTTTATTGGATATAATTTTGTGGGAAAAAAATGTTACCAGAAATATCATCATAGTAAGATCCAGACAAAAATTTTAAAAAAATGAGCACCAAAACTATCATACATGTAAGCTTAAGGCTATAAGAAGAAACTGCGAGCTCATGAAGACAAGTACTCCTATACTCCTCTTACTAATACCTCCTGCTCTGCCATGAATACAGTTCAAAATGGAGAAAATATTGAATGCATATTCTTCAACTACTTCTGAATTTCATAAAAGTCTGTTGAAAAGTTTAATCAGCTGATATCCAAATACACATATACACTTTTTGTCAAGGTCAGTTATCCCTTTCACCCCTATGTAACTTTAATAAATTCAACCATGCATTGATCTGGATGAGTCCATTATGGTCTACAGTGGTGAAAGGGTTAACACATCAACAGATAGAGGCCCTACCTCCAGCTCAGTGAGAATGCGTCGGGTCTTTTCAAATCTCCCGAGTACAATGTTCCATCCGACATCGTAAAGTCGTCGGTGACATCATCGTTAAATGTTCCACAAAGACCTACACAGTACAATATAATTAAATCAAATCATTTTTGTTCTTACTGATACTGGGAAGGTACATGTACTTCCATTTTTTATTTTATTTTATTCAGTGTTTTAGACAAAGATACAACAAACAAACAAACAAAAAAAACAAAAAAAACGAAAATAATACAATGTAAAAATCTGAGAGAAATGAAACAAAATCCGTTTCCGATGTAACATCCTCACCTTGGGTATTGTCGTAGTCTGCCGATGATGCCTTCAGCCAAACATTGAGATAGTTCTGTCCTCGAATCACACTTCTCTTCACAATAATGAATGTCCCAGTTGGGAAAATTATCTGTTGTAAAGATGAAAGTATGTAGAAGTCACAAAAAAATCTCTCAAGAAATAAGTCAAAAGTGAAACTCATAGTAAAAAAGGTCAAGGTCAAATCAGCCGTAAAAGTGTCCAGTGAAACCACTAGTAGAAAGTGGTAGAGGAAAATACCCAGTTTATAATCATTATGGGTCTCTTTTTTTTAAAATTAAAACATAACAAATTTAATTGTTATTTACTAAAGAGGTATGAGAACGAACCTTGTACTTTCTGCCTTCATAGTAGCTGATGATTTTCAGGCCTGGAGTGAGCTCTCCATTCCTAAACATTTGGACGGTTATTGGGTAGAACCCTGTGTTTGCTGAATCAGGACCACACTTGTCAATAATAATAACATCGTCATCCACCTTGATGGCCACAGCACAGTTACATGAGGCTCGGCCGTTACATCGCCGGTAGAATGTACGCACTTCATAGGGCAGGGTTGTATGGCGGTAGAAGACGAACTCGCCCTCATAAAAGTTGTTATAATGACTGCAAATAAATCAACAATCTTTTTTAAATTTAAATTTTGATTTTTTTGCTTAAACCTATTTCATTAAAACACAGTTACTGTATTTTACAAACCTTGATAATTTCAGTGATAAAAACTAATAACACTGGTAACCTAGGCATTAGGATGTTGTTTACAGGTTTTCACACATTTGACCCCTGTGACCTTGAAAGTGATGTCATTCATTTTAACAAACTTGAAAGCCCTCAACCCCAGCATCCTACAGGGCAGATATTATGATCCTATTGCAGCTTCTTGGTTATTCAAAATAAGTAAAAAACAAGAGGCCCAGGGGCCTTAATAGCTCACCTGGTATTTTATTTTTCAATTTAAAACCTGCTGAGTACCATTCAGGTTTATCAAAGGAGTACAAGTAACAAAGTTGCATCTTCCATTTATAAATATTCAATTCCCTTTGCCCAAAGATTCTCTAAAACAAGTTTGGTTAGGTTAAAATCCCTTCAACGGTACAGAAGGAGAAGGATCTTTAATGTTTTCCTCTATTTCCCCTAATGGGCCCCACTAATCTGCCCCAAAGAAGGGGAATCCACACACCTCAGTTTAAACAAAATTGATTCTTTTCTCCCTAAGCATGCTTCAGACTGCATTTGGTTTAAATCCCTTCACTTGTATAGTAGGAGAAAAAAAATCCTCTATTTCCCCTATTGGGCCCCGCTCCTATGCCGCCAGAAAGCCCACACCCTCCGTTTATACAAACTTGAGTCTCCTTTGTCCAAAGATGCTCTAGGACAAATTTGGTCAAAATCCTTCTATTGGTTGAGAAGAAGAAGATTTTTAAAGATTTACCTATTTTCCCCCTATTTGGCCCCGCCCCTCTGCCATTCAGGACAAGTAGCATTTTAAAGGAAAAAGTTGACGGACGCCGGACAACGGACGACGGACGACGGACGACGGACGCTGCACCATGGGATAAGCCCACTTGGCCCTTCGGGCCAGGTGAGCTAATAAAAATAATGCATTTGACCTTTGTGACCATAAAATTGGGTCGTTTTTATTTGAGTCTAATCAGCCCAACAATGTTTCAGACAAATTTTAGTCAAAATTGACTAAAATAAAAAGGAAAATCTGACAGACAAATTGATTGCTGCACCACAGCACATGGCCCTTTGAACTGGGTGGGCTAAATAAGGATGTTTCAAGAAAATATGATAATAGCAAAATAGGATATCAACAACATGGTGATAAGTGTTATCTACTGTATTAAAACAAATTTCAAACAAATTGATTTTATACTCACAGGACATCGAAAGTGGTGAGATGGGGATCATTGACAGAAACACACAGACCATATCTATCCTGGTCGATCACCCTCAGCTGAAATACAGGTTACAAATAATAACTATCATAATGACTATCGTTGACACGCGATTTCCTTTACTACTTGTATACAGAGGATTTTTGCTAAATGCAAATTTTTCTTATTAGATTTGCTTGCATTTTCCAGGGATAACTCATTTGGTACATTAAAATGACAGTAAGAATAGTGAAAAAAGTTTCATTAAAAATCTCGAGAAATTTAGACAGACACTCAGGTAATTGGTAATTTCTTTGGATCTAACAAACTAAAGCAGTGATAATGAAATTAAGCTACATATATGTAAATTTGGGATATGGCTGATTTAAAAAAAATTTTTTTTACTCTTTTACTTTGTTGACACAGGCAGTGAAGGACATTTCAGATTACCCAGATACAGTTTTTAAAACTCCAATTCCTATTAGAAACAACCTGTCTTTGGGAACTCAGTAACTTGTTACAGCTTAACATGATGCAACACATTTTATATATTTTTTCAACTATTGCAATTAACGATCAAAAGAGAAAATACCTGAGATTCCAGCTTGGGATTGTCTGCTTGTTCCACTGTGCCGTCGACGAAATAGTCCGCGTACAGTGTAAGCTTTCGGGAGTAATTCCCCTCAATCTTGTTGTCAAGTGTTGCCTTAACCTCCAAGTCATACATAGCAGTCAACCAGTTGTCATTGGTAACGTTGACCGTACAAAATGGCGAGGGATTATCAGAGTTTTCTCCCCTCATATACATACGTGACGAGACCTGTTTTGATAAAATAAATATCTACAGTCAAACGTGCTCATGGGACCTCCTCTATTAAGTGGCCACCTGTGTAAAGCGACCAGTTTTAATATTCCCAATCATAGTAATTTCCTTGTGAATTTAACCTGTATCAAAAGACCACCTGTATTAAGGGACCACTTTCAATATTCCAAATTATAGTAATTTCTTTGTGAGCTTAACCTGTATTAAGAGACCACCTGTGTTAAGTGACCACTTTCAATATTCCCAATCATAGTAATTTCTTTGTAAACAGAACCTGTATTAAGAGACCACCTGTGTAAAGAGACCACTTTCAATATTCCCAATCATAGTAATTTCTTTGTAAACAGAACCTGTATTTAGAAACCCACCATGTTAAGAGACAATTTCTTTTACATTCCTTCTGCTGGTCTCTTAATACAGGCTTAATGTTTGATTGTAACAGCTTTTTGTACTAATGGACCAAATACCTGTTTTGCTTTCTAATGACCTTTGAGAAACATTGCTAACTGTTTTAAATTTACATGCATCAAACTTGATCTTGGTGTAAAAGAAATGATAAATACTGTATGTTCGCCCTGTGTAAATTTCACCCCTTACACATAATCACTACATACTGTGTATGTTTCTTACTAATATGCGCCATCACTATAAATTCGTCTTCATTGGGGAAGGTGAAAAAGTCAAAGGTTAAACTGTGCGGCTTAAGTCTCCCTGTATACAGTATTTGCTGTTCTCCAGCTCTTTGCAACGATGATTGAATTGAATGATTTCACAATCCTCTTTATTATAAATACCTGTTGTATGAGGGTACCATTGGGACAGGTGACGTTTCGCCCATCAGTGTTGGTCACAGTTGCCCTTAGGCTAATAGAGCAGTTATCAGACGAAGTGAAGTTCAGGTTCCTACAAAGGACATACGGAGGGGCGGTGATATCCACGGTGATTTTCTTCGGCATCTGTCCCTCATACAGATCCATGGCATCTGCACCTCCGGTAATCTACATAAAGGGTTGACGTACACATCAATATGTTTTATTACATGTTATGACCCTGCGACTAAAGACACCTTGGTCTTGCGCTAGATATTAAATATTATTCCATATTTTGCAGGTATATATAGCCTAAGTACTTTTCTATAGCACTAGGAATCTTAAACTGCAGCTACAAATATGTTCATTGATTTGTAAAAAAAAAAAATGAAATTCATAATGATCACTGTACATAGGCAAAACCCCAACCCCATCCCCTTTACAATGTGTCATATGTCCAAAAACAAAAGTTAACAGAATAACAGATGATTAATGAAAATTAGTTTATAATATGTCCCAACTTTGACTTGATGTATATAAAATGACACAAACACACACTATTTACCTCAATTGTTGCAGTGTAGGGTTTGGAGAAAACAAGATTTCCTCTGGTATTTTCACAGTTGCCGTAGTAACAGGCACTGACTGAACACTGGAGCTAAAATGAAGATAACATCAATGAATTTCCACAACGTCACACGACTTTCCTCAGTATTATAGCACAGACAAATGTTGCAGCAATACATAACTTTGCTCTGATGTCCAGGGCAAGATTGGATGGAGGAATCTTCTATTTGAATACACCGCATTTCACGTGAGTGATGCCACAACCGGACAACGATGTATGACGCAACATTTGGAAATGGGGACAATTCTTATATGCTGGGATGCAGAAACTGCAGACATGATGAAAAGTAAAACTAAAAAGTGTCTGTAAGAAATGAATGCTCCCCTTTGCCCTGTGATTAACTCCCCATTGCCCTGTGGTTAACTCCCCTTTGCCCTGTGATTAACTCCCCTTTGCCCTGTGATTAACTCCCCTTTGCCCTGTGATCAACTCCCCTTTGCCCTGTGATCAACTCCCCTTTGCCCTGTGATTAACCTATAAATAGCAACAGTGCATTTGGAGTGACATTGGGACTCTGAAATACTAACTTGTCCACAGTACTTTACCCCTTTCGGAACACCTGGTCTTATTCTCCCTGTACGTTTATGAGAGTCGCCATGTAAGTTTTTCCTTTGTCCATATTTTGCCCTAGTTTTATCGGTTTCCAGTAAGAAGTGAAGTTTGGTTGACACTTTTGTTGTATTTTGTATAAACTCTGATAAAATCCGTAAATTAAATGAGCTATCTAAGAGTCATGACAATGAATTGTGATGAGACTGGACAGGACAGAAATGGTTATCATTATCTGGTGCCTCCCATAAAATGGTAGGGGCATATACAATTGTAACACATTTTGATTGTAACAGGGAGGTTACAGAAGTCCACCAAAACTGCCTCTAGTCAGAAATGATGAACTGGAAAGTATTTGCAATGCCATAAAAATCAGAAATAGTAAGGGAATGTTTGCATCTCCTTGGCATACACCCACAAATATGTCAATCAATTAAAGGTCACAACAGCCATGCTTGATAACCAATTGGAAAATGGTCCACTAACGTCCAGGTGAAGTTTCATAATTTTCCGAGGAAAAACTCCAGAAACTATTCGGGGGAAGAAAAATAAGAAGCGATAAAAGAAAAAGAAGAAAGAGGAGTAATAACAACGATAAGAAGAAATGCAGCAAAATCAGACAGGTATATGAGTGATGACATAATCTCAATGGAAAACACTTCAATCCTTACCACAGACCCGTCCATCAGGCTGTTTGCGTACATAGATGGTAACATGGATTCAGTCATGTTGTCCGCTGGAGTGTCCTCGTACAACTGTACGCCGTTTACCTTCCAGAGAACATCGTAAATTACGTCCATTTCCGTCTCGATTGGGGGGAAGGTGCACATGAAGCTGTCATTTCCAGGGCCATTGAAAGATGTCACCAAGGTTGCATTGTCAACTGAAGGACCTGTTAGTAATCCTGTAAAAATGTTGAAAAAAAAGGGTTTGCAGTGTCGTTAAAAGATATTGTCTTGTGATTTCTGACATGAAAATATCACAAATAAATGCAAATATACTGTTCTGTGATCCTATAGCTACAAATGTCACTTATACTGTTCACACATGTTCCTGACGTGTTGCTCTAAATGACCAACAGTGACCTGTTGCTCTAAATGACCAACAGTGACCAGCTGTCTGACTGTATCTCTCAACTCCTCTTCTGTTTTTATATTTGCATTCAAACTTATTCGGTACCAAATAGGATATCATCACCGACTTACCAAATATTTTGTTAATTACATGCTTCACTTGCACATCATTTTACAAGAAATGGATTTTTTAATGTCAGATGTACCAATAGCTAACAGTACTCAACAAACCAAGGTAGTCAGGTGGTACAGTGGATAGGGCACTCTACATTCACCAAGAGGCAGATGTTTGATTCTCAGACAAGACTGAAAAGGTATATATTGGGGCATCTTAATTTCTTCGGGTACTCTGTGGTTTTTCTTCCATGCTTCAATCCAGGCCAACAAGGGTGATGAATAAAAGTTGGAAAATCCTGTTTTGTAATTGTTGTAAAATACAGTTTATATGTATAATAGGAGCAGAAAAATAAAAGGCTGGATCGGGGTTTGAACCCTGGACCCTCCGAAATCCAGATGGACGCTCTTCCTGGTCCACCTGATCGCCCACGGTCGACCAAGTCCAGTTCTGCTACATATGTATTTCTTAACAAAACGATACTTACTGTTTACACAAGTGTGGAAATGATACTGCCAGCCCTTGTACATTGAGCCATCACCCATCTTGTCGCCTAGTAGCAGCTCAGTGAGGACACACAGACCAGCCGACTGACTAAAGACGATGGCGGTACAGGTGGACGACCCTTCACACAGCATCTTACAGTAGTCACTTGTCCAAACGTCAGTCACTACAAGGCTGTCGGAGAGGTTGAAACTCATCTTGTCTGTCCAAGCTTTCCACTCCACATACTGTCCAGGACAACGGTCATCTAGTGGACAATTTAATCACATCACAAATGAAACAAACAACTCCATGTCAAAGATCTGTCAACCATTTTTTCAAAAAGTGTCTTTATTTTACAATTGGAGAACAGTATTTGAATTGCAATATTTTGAAAGTCATATGAAAAGGAAAATTACGTGTATGTACACCTGTTTTTTGTTTTTTTATGACACGTACCCTGATCATGAAAATGTACTATGCGGAATTCAGGATGAAGGATCGATATTATCTACAGTAAACTCCCTTTATACTTAAGATAGTTTAAAATTGTCATTACAACCTCTATCCGTACAATGATTTCTTTGCTTAGGTTAATTGCCATGGTAACCGTTCCTATTTTCTAGCTTACCTGTGCATTGCCATTCTGAGTAAGTCCAATTGTTGTTGAATCCGCCTTTGTCGACGTAGGTAGTCACGTCTGCAGCTTGGAATGGTGACAGGTTGCACTCCCCGGCTGACGACTCATAGTCGAGGGAGCGACATTGGAAGGGGCCGTTGAATGTTGTACAGTCACTCTGACAGTCCTCGAGATTGGCCACATTGCTGGTTGTATTAAGGTTGTAAAAGGCCATTGCTGAGGCATTGTGAATTGTCCACTGAATCTGTGATGTCAGACACGGCCCTGAAAAACATCAAAGTTTGAAAAGTCAGGTATTTGTCCTATGTATATATATGTAGCCTTCCCTTCAATATTTTTTTTTTGAGATAAATTTAACTTTGAGCATCTGTCTCCCAAGACAGTCCTCCGCTTAAGTCATTGTCAGAACAAGAGGCCCAGAGGGCCTTTACCAGTCACCTGGGTATTCCAAAGTAATCACAGCAAAATATTCTCCTTAAAATATATATTGAAAATAAGTTCTAATGTGTTGGGCTGGACTCCAGGGTCAATCCTGATAGCATATGCGAATCAAAATCATCATGCATAGCAATTATGTACTGGTAGGGTAGCCTGTCTCTTCATCCAGCAACTGCATATAAGATTTAATAGTGTGGGTCTTAGCCACTTTTACAATTTATAATCCGTTTTTGGCCCCAGCCTTCAGCCCCTGGGGGCCAGCTCCTCAATATCTACCATTTGAATTCCGATCACCTGAGAATGCTTTCAACTAAAACTGGTTGATATACATCACTTAGTTCCAGAGAAGGAGACATCAAAATAATTGTTTTTGCAGGAGTTTTATTTGTAGCCATTGGCTGACCCTCCTACTACAGATATTTCACAGGCTACTTTCGTGAAACATTTGTTAGGCTACATGCATTTTTTATTCTTATTGAAACTTCTGTTTTTGTCTTTGTCCCTCCAACCCCACGGTGTGATAACTTTCATTTGTAACATTTTTTATTCATCATCACCTGATGATGCTAAGCTTTTCATCATCTTGGAGATATTCTGTTCCGTGTTTTAGAAAAAAAATAAAGCCATTTATAAATGTTTTTGGTGGATGAGTGACGGATTCCATGGTACAACGTAAGCTCATCTTGGTCCTTTGGACTGGATCAGCTAATGTTACCAAAAGGGGACGTTTGTTATGGTTTTATGTCCAAGTTTTCATATTTCAATGTGGCGGCACTAGAAAGTGGCCCAAACATAACAAGATACAATCGTCATGTGACCCGAAGACTTAGCTGTTGTAAATTAAAATATAAAACCCCAATTAACTCAAACCAGTCTTGAACAAAGAAAGTACTTGATTTGATGCATGGTCCCTCACCTCTAAACAAACTAGAAACTATCATTTGTTCATGTGTGTCCATCCTTGATATCCAGGGGTTAACCTCACGTACGCTCTCTGCACCCCTGGAATATGTCATAGCAAAATTGACGACACAAAGATAGCTGTTTGATTGGTCTCAGATAAAAAGACCTGACCAATCGCTAGGCTGATACCTGTCCTTTAAAGATTACAAAGGGGCAACTCTCGACTTCAAAGCCAGTCAATTTTTACCATACATGACCATGAGATTTTTTGGTGTACATCAAAGGATTAAACTAGTCTTCTCATCTCGTCAACAAGGTGGTGCACACTGAGCCTTCAATTTTGCTTTGACATATTCCAGGGGTGCTGAGAGTGTAAGTGAGTGTAACCCGTGTAGTATCCAGGATGATGTGAGTCACGTTACGAAAAGTTACGAGTACATGTATATGGTACGATAGTTTACCTGGTCGAGCGGTCCACGCCGTAGAGTTGACTACAGGATCACAGATCTGTTGGTCGTCAGTAGGATTCACCGTCAGGTTAACATAGCACATACTGTCAATAACACAGACGTCCTCCTGAAACACACGAACACGGGGATCAAATCCCGGTCTGAACTTGTAGCTCTTTTACTCATAGAAAAACTGGTGTTGGTTTTATTTGTTCATATCATGATTTATTTTTTTATAAAAATTCTGCAAAGTATAAACTTCTTTTTAGAAACATAGCCATGCTGGTAAAAAAGTGTCCAATTTATAGTTGAAGTTTTTGACAGTGGGACAAGGATCCTTAAGACTGACATCTCTACTTTTATCAAAGATCCCAATGCCATATTTTTGTAACTAATATTACAACGGGTTTTTATCAATGTTCTCTATCAATTCTTTTCTTTACTTTATCCTCATTTCTCGGCAAAAGTTCATACAGTGATCATAATCTGATAGCTAGTGGTAATTTAAGGGAGTTTTTCTTTGAAGTGTCTTTTCTGTGACATCAACTTTAAAATTGAGAGCCTTCCTGAAAAGTTTTTTTTTAAGTCACCCTGAAAAATGTCTGGCCTTTGAAGCATTAACCGATCTTGATATGATCACTGCATACACCGTATTTTCAAGCTACAGCTACAAGCAATTTAACCTTTTGACCTTAAGGTCAACTACAGCTTACCTTTTGAGCACACGATCCATCAACAATGTTACACGAGTAACACATTGGGTCATAGGTCAAATGCAGAACTTGGTTGCTGATGTTGTTGGTTGAGTTTATGTTGCTAACAGCAACCAAGTAATCACCAGCGGCTGGTAAAGCACATCTGACCTCTGAGAGAGTGACGAAGGTCTCAGGAGCCTCTTTCCAGTCACCAGACGCCTGGTAGCCAGTGTTGTTAACCTGCAGTTAAAATGGATTACATGTAGCTTACTATAATGTTCCAGTGAATTAATGAAAATTCAATTTTTGTCAATGATTTGGAGGAATTTTGGTGTTACTGAAAACAAAATACCTCTTCCAAAGTTTAGACTTGACTTTTTGATCATGTTACAAGAAAGTTGATCTGAGCACAAAATCCAAGTTTGAGAACAAGAATAGTTTCATGAATACGAACCCTTGTCTTGACCTGTTGTATTTTTACACTCAGAACATTTTTACACTGAAAAACTTTGTACCTTTACACCGTTAATGCTTCCTATTATCATGGTTGAAATAAAGTTGAATTCGATCCTAAAATGAACTCACCTTAATTTCCTGGTAGTAACATTTCAGCATGTCGGAGTTGACGAAGGTGTTTCCGGTGAGACACACCGTCTGACAGGGGGAAGTCCTCGAGTTACACAGACCCTCCTTTGGTTGTACAACACTTACGGTCGGTTGGTCATTGATGTTTACGCTACAGTCTGGCCCAATGAAGCCAGGATCACAGACACAAGCACCTGAAACATACACAGGGACTTTTATTATATGTACCAAATATGGAAAACATCCAGGGAGTTCCAACAAAAGTAAATAGCCGTATAAATAACACGAAACTACAGCTGCTAGATTTATAGAAAGTTTGAACAATCCGAGACGACATCGGCTAAAAGAAACAGTAAAGTCGCGGATACAAGACGATCGCGATGGCCTATTACAAAATAATGACAAACCTATCAAAACATAATGTTAAATATGATGTTCTTATATTTACTTTATTACATATCGGTAATTGATTGTCAAGTTCATTTTGCACTTACTGTGAAGCAGAGGTCAGAGTGCATGCCGCACCCCAGTAATGATTTGTCAGGTATCAAAGGAAGTTCAATGGTAATGTAACCTGGGTGGATTGAAACTGCAGTCAGGTATCACATGTGTTTGTAACTTTTTATGATGCCTGCTAGTGACCTGTCAATTATTGGAAATCCTGTGGATATGTGTAACTTTCTGTGTATTTGTTGGTTCTGACTGGACACCAATTACATACCCATGACGATTCAGGTTGGGAAAAAGAAGGCAGTGGTCAGAGTTTTGGAAGTGTTTGTTTGTGTTTTAGATCATATGAACAGTTATGGTCATTTAAGGATGTGCCAGGTTTTGGTGGCGGAGGAAAGCCGGAGATTGTTAAGTGGTGATTAGTAGGAGGCATTAGAGATTTATACTCACCCTCCGTACAATTGCCGTTGTCACAATGATAAGGACAGAGACTGGCCAGGGCAGCAGTAACATCTCGCGTCACCGTGCGATTCCTCTCCAGCTCAAACAAGCATCGCCGTGCTATCATCTCATTCATAACAGAAGCCCAGCCTATGTCGTTTGTCAACTGCGTCACAAAAACATAAGTGAACATAATAATTACAAAAAAAAGAAAATTCTCTGCCCTACAGCTATAAACTTGGATTTCCTTGAAGATCTTCACATCAAAGGCAATGTGTGGGAATAAAATAACATTTCTGTTTCATTCCAAAACTGTTTTCTCTGTTCTAGTTGATGTCTCTGTTGACCTACATTGTAAAAGTGGGGAAATTTCAAAGCAAATCCTCTAAATAAGAGCACTATGACTGAATTCTTATGCTAGTAGATTTATTGCATATAAAGAGATTTAGTATAATTATTTACATTCTCCTTTCATTCCTAATTAATAATTAAGAAATAGTAGACTATTGTGACGTCTTAATAACAGTTAGGTAAACATCTTTATGTAGCAGAGATGTACCAAAACATTAACCACTTATTTAATCTGCAACTTTGAGAGCAGTGAATTAAAAGTACCATTCTAATTGGTCAACACTAAAAAGTGGGATCCTCACCCAGTGACAATTATCACTTTGCTATGTCGAATTGTGAAATGAATCAGTTGTATAAAGTTGATAGAGTACAATATCTCACTGGTGAAAATGAAATTAATTGCTGGTCACAGAATATGTTGTTTTGTATTTCCACACCATGAAATTTTCTTCTTTTACACTTTGCTAATCCACAAAAATCTATATAATTCTGTTCCCAAAGTATGAACAGATTCTTGTCTAAGGCTTAAAATGAAGATAACATTTTGAATTTTTCATTGAAGTGGGAGGATAAATAGCCATGTAAAAAGAGGTCGATCTAGACCACTGTTTTCCTGGATACATACCCTAATATTCTCCTTGCAGTCATCTACTTCTGCTTGGACAAGGAGCGGCACCAGTTGACCACATGTCTCAGCTAGAGGACTGTGCGTTGTTTCATTCGTACAACTCTGTTCGGCTTCTGCTTCTGATACACTGCCGGACCATCCCGTCGGCTGACAAAAAAAAATCAAGAATAGTTTATAAACATACTCCAAAATCATTGCTCATCTTAAGCTTGTGTTCCAGATACTTATTTTCTGGTATAGAGCATGGATTGTAGTGATTAGTTTAATACCCAATTGAAAAAAAAAATACGAAATATAACAAGAGGCCCTGAGGGGCCTTAATAGCTCACCTGGTATTTTATTTTTCAATTTAAAACCTGCTGAGTACCATACAGGTTTATCAAAGGAGTACAAGAAAGAAAGTTGCAAGAAAAACTACATATAAATCTGTTTTGGTGGGAAAGACACCAAGAAAATGAGTTACCATGTTATGTCCCAATTTTCCTCTATTTTTCATATTGGGCCTCACATGCACCTTTTTATACAAATTAAACAAATAAAGTTTTTTTCCCCTAAGCATGCTTCAGACTACATTTGGTTTAAATCTGTTCATTTGTATAGTAGGAGAAAAAAAATCCTCTATTTCCCCTATTGGGCCAAAGGGGCCACACCCTCCGTTTATACAAACTTGAGGCTCCGTTGTCCAAAGATGCTCTAGAACAAATTAAGTCAAACTCCTTCTATTGGTTGAGAAGTAGAAGATTTTTAAAGATTTACCTATTTTCCCCCTATTTGGCCCTGCCCCTCTGCCCCCAGGCGTGCCATACCCTCAATTTATACAAAACTGAGAACCCTTTGGCCAATGATGCTCCAGACCAGGACTAGTAGCGTTTTAAAGGAAAAAGTTGACGAACGGCGGATGCTGCTCCATGGGATAAGCTCACTTGGCCCTGGCTAAAAATCATAAAATTAAGGACCCATCCTAAAACTGAAATTATACTAGTGTACCTTTTTGCATTTGGTCAATGCATGACTTGACCAACCTTGTTCACAGTTCTTTGTTTCTTTAGTTGACCTAACTGACCTTAACACAAATCTATAACTTTTATAATATACGGTATGTCTTTGAATCTATTAAGTTTGAACATAAACTGGTGGATTTCAGGTTACAGCGGAGAAGCCAGAAATTATTGTTACCCTTAAATATAACCTTACCATCACAATTCTAATCTCTTCACAATTACGGTTTTGCCATTGTAACTTTACCCCCTTGACCATTGGAAGTTTGCAAATGTGACTTTCCCCTCTTCAACATTGGAAATAAATTTCTTGTACCAACTCATTGAAAAAATTGTTAAATTAAAACTGCAATATCATTATGACACGAGTATCACTCACAATGACAGGTGCACTAGTGTTGTACACAAACGACCCCTTCCTGTACGTGGTTCCTTCAAAGGGGAAACAATTCTGGGGTACCATCTTGCCCGATAGTACAACATCGGTGATATCCTCACCTAGAAATCAATCAACATAGAATACAACTTTTTCTGAGATTTCAACTTTCAAGTTTGCCAAAAACAATTACACGCCTTTGCCTCTTACCATAGGAATGACAGGACTTTTACGATGTTTATTTGTTAAACTTGACTTGTGTAAAATATCTTACATACTACACGTATAGAGGTGGAAATTATCAATTACAGTGACTGTGGAAATGCATGCGTTTTTCGAGTTGAGTTTGAAGTACAAAAATATCCACACACAATTATACACACCTATCACAGATATATAGATTTCAGAACTAGCACCAATGCAAACATTTTCAAAACGCAATACATTTTAAAGAGTCACATGAACATTTCAACACGTGAGAATTTCAAACTTTTATTGTATCCGAAATTGACAAAATCCACATGGAAGTTGATCCATCTCCGCCCAGTGAACCTTGGTCCATCTTCAGAATAATCCATTTTCACCGAGTGTTAATTTCACATTTGATTACTATGAATATTATATTGTTTACTAATGTTTGCTGTAATGATAAAATTGCCCTCATTACGGAGGGCGATAAAGGCAGTGAAAATGTCCTGCTCTACAGTAACAAAAGGAAGAAATTTTTGAAATGTATGACTGAAGTACTATCACATGATTCAAATTTGATTTATTTATTACTGTCAATGAATGTATGTTATCATTTCAGATCTCACCATTGAAGTACTCTTTAGCACTGGAGCAGCTTTGCACAAGTCCCCACTCGTCACATTGGGCAAATTCAGCCCCGGTACACTGACACAGGCTGCCATCAGGTACCGCCCGATCATCCTTTTTGTCTTCACAGAGTCCAGTGTACACGCTGTCTGCCTCTGGTACCCTAGAGTAAATCCGAGGCCATACATGACAACAAACTATCACTCAGGACAGTGATTATTTCTTCTAGTTTTACAGACGAATACAGGCTGCTTCCCCTGGCTGAAAAGTTCTTTATTTTCCCGAAATGAAGAAAAAATCATAAATCTCTCTTCCCAATTTTGATAGAAATATTGCTATATTTCCCCAATTCATCATGTAGAAACTGGCTGTTGTAAAATTTAGGATAAAAAACTACTGCTGAGGAAATGGAACACACACACCCTCAAAATAACCCCCACTCTCCTCCTTTGGCTCAAATGGCAGGGTAAATTCAAGAAATGTTAAATTATAAATTATTGAAAGAAGCAAGGGTCCCACGAATGTCTGTGTTCTCTGTGTTGAATTCTTGTTAGAATTTCAGTACTGAGAGTAAACTTTGGTTTCCTAAACATATGGACCTTGTCTGCAATACACAGGATCTATGTGTTTAGTATTGTTTTCATCACTGAAAGCATGAACTTATAATTTGTACACTAAACATGAACTTTGCTCACTAAATTCTATTACATCACACTGTTGACAATATCATACAAAGATTGATCTTCATCCATCATCTAACATATTCTCAGGCTAAAAATAGAAGAATATATCATTTAAAGTATCCTACCTCCAGGACAAGGTGAATGGGTCTGGGTACTTGACACCTATTGGTGAAGATGTGTTGTCGCTATGGAGAAAGTCGTTCACATCTTGGCCATCGTAGTTTCCACAGAGTCCTAGTTAGAAAACCAAACAATCAGTTACAAATGTAGTTGCTCTAAAAGTGTTACAACGATGGTGTGTTCTTTTTTTTGGTTAAACATGTTGGACAATAGTTGTTTGTTTATGAAATAAGGTCAGACCTAGTAATCTGATACTGCTTTCAGGCGAGCCTTAACAAAGCCTTGCAAGGCCTGCATGCATAAACATTTGCAGGTCCGCCAGGGTTTATACCCAAAAATGTTACATTTAAAAACAGACAAACCAGTTGTTTTGAATAATCGAACAGGCCCCAGGTAAATGTTGATGTTTCAGGCCTTGAGATCATAAAACAGTCTGGGCTTTTACAGATCAGTTGCTTACGGGAAATAAAATGACCAAACATTACCAAACACGAAGTAGCACCATCATGATGACGGGGCACTGTCGAAGACTTTGTTAAGCGACATGCTAAAATTAAATCTCACCACTGGTACGGTTAAAGTCGAGGGGCGACGGGTAGAACCACACATTCAGGTAGGTCTTGTGGCTAGGCTGGACGATCAGCTGGGTCCCCGACGGAAGGTGCACCTGAAGATTAATTTTATCGTATCAAAATAAATATATAACATGAATATATCAGAGGTCAACAAACTGCTAAGTTATGATCTGTTATGTTTGATTTGTTATTTCTGGCTAAATAATCGCAAAATATTTAGTTCATAAAGTTTCTCTTAGTTTTGAAACTTAAATGTCAAAATAAATTTAAAAATTTGATATTTCAATAAAAAAAAAAACTAATCTATTAATTAAAAGCTTTTATACAAGTTTCCATTAACCTCAGATTATGGTCTAGAAATTTCTTTTTAACTTAGCCGTTTGATCAACAAAACCTGATATATATCAGTCACCAGCTGATCACCTGAATTTCTTTTCCGGAAGCCACTCGAACAACGTGGAATTCAGGCGCGACATTTCCATTAGCGTACATCTGTGTTTTGATCGGATAAGTTGGATCGGCGTCTCTTTCTGGTTCACAGCCATTGATGACCAGTACGTCATCATCTACTTGAACACTGACCCCACAATTACAGATATTGTCGTTTTGTCCGCACCGTCGATAAAACATGTGAATCTGAAAAATTGAAAATTGAAATTAATTTCATTGGATTTTGCAAAGCAATCATTTCTTATATATCAAGCTTTGAAAATGGATGTAAATGAAAAATTAAATAAATTTCATAGTATTTTGCTAAGCAATTTTTTTCTGATATACCAAACTTTAAACATGGATACCATATACATCCCCAATCATGGTAAAATGGGGTCAAAATTGAATTCTCACCTCTAGCGGAAGTATGTCATGTTTGTAGAAAATAAACTCTCCTTCATTTTGGTTGTCAAAGTTCCTGTCAACAGAAAAGCAAATTGTCAATGAAAATAACTGTTTCATAGTACAATATTAAACTGGTTTTAAATTTTAACATTTTTCTAACAAATTTAGTATTTGCTATTTAAAGCCCACTCTTTACAGACAAATGTAAATGATAAAAAAGGGGTCACACCCCACTTGATTTTTTTCTCCAGATTTTTCTGTATTACAAATTCTGTTTTAATTTGAATAAAACAAACTATAGCATTTCTTTTGAAGTTTTAGGAAATCTTTAATATGTTCTAGATATATTGAGAATAATTTTGAAGAATAAATCTGAAACTCCAATGCAATAGATAATTAGTATTAATGAGGAAAGTCTATTGCTAAAATCCCAATAATGGAGGTCATTACTTTGTCAATGCTTCCATAGTCGAACCCTGGACCCTCTGGTTTACTAGTCTTACGCTCTTCCGAATGAACTAAAGAGAAATTCTCCCTAGCAGAGTCGGTAAGAAGGAGCTAGTATTTTACCAGGGCGACTTATAGGTAGACACTTAAAATAGAAGCTTGTTATGAAAATGACACTATCGGAAAAAAGTGAACACAATAGGTAAACTCACACTCCATCAAATGTCATCAGATGGGGACCACTGGTGGAGCTACACACAGCATCCGTATCTTTGTCCTCCACTGAAACTTGTACCTGTAACAAGAATAGTAGTACTGTATTTTACCTGTAACAAGTAAAGTAGTACCGTATTTTACCTGTAACAAGAAAAGTAGTACTGTATTTTACCTGTAACAAGAAAAGTAGTACCGTATTTTATCTGTCAAGTGCCCAGGCATCCCAGTTCTCAGACATGAAATAATCTACGGGTAGATCCAGGGACTAGGTTGAATGTCTGCAAGTGACCAGAGGTAGCTCAATTTGTTACAGCCGTTGTCTAGATTTCGGAGGTCCCAGATTTGAATCACGGTCTGGGCTGGGCCATTGCATTTTATCTCTTGTGTAACATTGATGTCTGTCACCAACACTTTGTAAATAATTACCTGGTAACCCTTTCACCACTGTGGACCATAATGAACTCGTCCAGATCAATGCATGGTTGAGTCTACTAAAGTTATACAGGGGTGAAAGGGTAAATGTATGCTTTGCTCGGCTGTAAATTTAGTGTTGTCTATGGAGGGCAAAGACTATGGAGAAAAAGGGAAGTGTAAAGGGGATTATAAGGCCCTGTGACTGTCTATGACAATGTTAACTCATTTCGTTAAAATGTCTAAGAGTTCAAAAGACCTGGGTTCAAATCTCTGTCTGGCGCCGTTTGCCTTTTCCCTCTACGGGTGTTACACGTGTATCTTGTTTATAATCCACGTTCACATATTTGCCAACTTTTTGAAATTTCATGGGGGAGATTACAATAACATGTGCTAGGAATTCAAAGCATACATAAAATGTGTGTATATATCCCCTAGGGAAAAAAATAACACTTTTAAATGGAAACTTTTGAGTTGTTCTTTCAGATGAAACCATCAGATCTTAGAAAAAAGAAATAGTTTAGCAAATTCACTGTTTGAAAATGCTCAATTTTAGGGTCCGAAATCGGTAGTCTCCCTCTAAAATATGGACAGTTGGCAAGTTTGCGTTCACCCAATGCCAGGTGCTGAATGTAGCTTTCATTTCCGGATATTGTGCATTAATTTGCCTTAATTTCCATTTCAAAGGAGATCTAATGAATGCATCGTAAATATCTCCAAAATCACTGGATGTTTCTCTAGAAATCTGTCTCATCTTAAACAAATAAAGTTTAAGTTTAATCTCAAATGCCATGACAAACATTCTGATTGTTGTGTTCTATGGAAATATACATATCTTCTCAATTTTGTGAAAATGCTGTAATGTTTCCAGTAAAAATAAAACAGGTATAAGGGTTCTCACAAACCGTCTGAACTTTCCAAAATTACCAACAGCGAATGAAAAATAAAACAGAGTAACAATAATAAGTTCAGACTTAGTTTTGGCATAGTGAGCTAATAAAATGAAATATTCATACTTGATTTTTCAACAGATTTCATAATTCATCTGACTTACCTGAAAGCCGATGGTTAGGAGGTTAAGCAGGTTGGCTCTGGTTTCTAAAGATACTTGGACTTGTTTGGTTCCATCTATAACGGCATCGACGCTAGCAAAAATCGGGAGATCATGAACTGTTTCCCAGTTGTCTGCCGTCACCGTGACAAAACAGGATTCGGGAAACACGATCTGTGACAATTCTTTACCTGAAAATATTGTTTTCACCAGAATATGTATGAAAAGCATAGAATAAGTCAATATCAGCACGTATCAAATCATGTTAGGTAAAATGAACTAATCTTTGTGTTTCCTTTTTCAAAACATTACGAATTGATAGACAAAATTATCTATATACATGTAGAATGAAAATCTTTCAGGGTTTGATAATTCATGTATAGCATCAGTGAAATAAATACTGTGATGTATTCCACCATTTAATTAAGTGCCCTAAAGGCTTAAACATTTGGGAAAATTTAGAATTATTACAGAACATTCCAAAATCTTGAAATTAATAATCATGATAGATATTTTGGTGTAGAAAGTTGGTAAATAAGGGATAAGGGTAGAGGGATGGGACTCAGAAAAAGGATAGAGGATGCTTAACAGGTGTTATAGAGTAAGTAAAAAACTCTCATAGGGAAAGTGGAATCAATGATTATATATGGTATAGCTTCATATATATTATCGGGCTATTTCACTATCACATAAAATGTTCTGTATATATATAAACACTTGTTTAAAAGCATAAATTGAAGGTAAAAAACATAAAATGTAATTTTTTCCATTCTTTTTCTACTTCATTTTATGAGAAAAATGTGTTACAAATTATGTATATTTTACAGAGTAAGGAAACTATATGATAAACAGAATCTCAAACATGTGTGTATTTTGTCAGTCTTGTCTTCATAGCACGCCACCACATTGTCATTCTTACCTCCAGAACATGTCACCTTATCGTCAGCTCCCTCCTTGGCCTTCACGATAACGGGACAATCTGAGGCGGCGTTAACACCCTGACAGAACACTGCTGGTGGTACGGTGGACTTGAACTGTATTAAAGCAGGGGGTCCGTTCTCCACCACACTCAGGCTCTCCTCACTGAGTAGCTGCTCAAAGTATAAAACATTTCCTTAAGAGTTTAAAGCTAATTACGTAAAGAAATTCTTGCTAGCCAGGGCATTTACAAACAACTAATAGATTGTATTAGTTCTTTATCTCAAGTGCTATAAAATAAGACAACTACTAGGTTTGGGTGACAGAAACCATGATTAATTTAAGCTGACACAGAACCACTCAAACAAACAAACCAGGGTGCTATTGTAGACTGGACAACTCAGTTGGTTATATATATTAGCCACCAGTATAATCATCAGAGGTGCCAAGTTTGAATCCTGGTCAGGCCCCCATTATATTTATACACTTGGAACACAGTTTAGGATTCTGATTGGTATATTTTATCTTTATTATTGTTCATGAAAGTTCCGCAAATTACACGGATACAAGGAGCCTTAAGAATGGAAAACATTCTCAAAATGATGGAGACAGTATACCTTTATCTCGGCCTGGAAGATGTTGCTGAGTTTCTGCATTCCTTTAATGGATTGGCACTTTCCACTGTAACAGGGCTCTATGCTGCACTGGTATCTGAATATCTGTAAAAAAAATCATAATCCTGTCTTATCTCTGAAACTTCAGTATTTACCAGTATACTGATGATAGAAACATCAGCGACAAAACATTCATATTTACTGACAAAACATTTATATTTACTGACAAAATATTCATATTTACTGACAAAATATTCATATTTACTGACAAAACATTTATATTTACTGACAAAACATTCATACTTTCTGACAAAAAAATCCTATTTACTGACAATACATTGCTACAATAAAATCTTGTGTTTTTGCTAACCCTACCTACCCTAGATTTGTGTGCCTACCGTAAAGTTTTATATAAGCATAGTAAAAATATTTTCCAAAAAAAAATAAAAAAATGCCTACCTACCCTATTTTTTCTGAGGATGATAGTGGAAACACAAGTAAAATTTTTGTTGGCCTAACTGGTATTTACTGACATATCTTAGACCAATTTTCCATTTTCTGCTGCCTTATTTCAATAATAAGAATTCTTTGTACGAATCTTAAAAAAAATGGGTATCCAAGAAAAGTTTGAAGTTTAGGTTCTAATTCTTCATCATTTTTTTTTTTTTGTAGGAGCAATCTATTGATGCCACATGTACAAGGCAAAGGGGATTTTTTTTTTTAAATCATTGCTGATGCTAAAGGTACAAACTAAAGGGGAACCTTTTTTTTGTAAATTATTGCTCTTTTTTTTTCAATTTATCATACTAGTGGTTACTTTAGTTACAATAGTGATGTTTATCATGCATGGATTTTTCAGTGAGTGGGCCTAGGATTTTTTCTCTTACAGACGATCCACCCCTGTCAGCTTGAGTAGTGGGGAAATGTTACAAGTCAGATAAAAAATTTAACCCAAATAAGATCTGAAGATAAAAATGTAGGAGAAAGAATTTAGATGCGCAAAAGAACAAAGAAATGTATCACATGTTACTACCATGAAACCATGCTGCAAAAACGTGGAAGGGAACACTACGTTATCATCTACTAATGCAGATAAATAGAGCTCCAGGTTGTTGTGTTAATCAGGGGGACAACATATAAACATTTCGGCCGTAATACTGTATACGGGAAACTTCGCCAAATCAAACTGTTGCCCTTCACTGGTCAAATCCATATTTTCCCAGCACTAATTTCGTCCTTCACATATAATGACTTTTAATGTTTAGTATATGGTGAATATTCTGTCAGGATAAATTAGCCATCATTACAGCTATGTGGGCAAAAAGGGCAAAATTTAAACTGTGCCGAAAAATTCCTGGTGTACAGTATACAGTAGATGTCTATACCTGGTAGTTATTCACAAGATCGCTGGCTTTGATCTCGAGTTTGCGGTTTGACTGACCAGTGGTCAGTAGCTCCTCCTCTATCTGCTGCCCTTCCTTCCACCAGGTCAACCAGTACTGTATCCCCCTAGTAGCCACATCATTCAGTGTGCAGGTCAAACTGAGGTCATCCAGAGACATGTAGGTCAAGGTCAACTCAGGGTCAGATATCCCAACTGGCACCAGATTCTCTGTAAAATACAAAATTGACATAAGAGTACATATTTATACAGCACAACTCTGTTGTACTACTGACATCTGTCCAGCGACATAATGGCAGTATAAGGAAGTTCAGTGCTAAATCAAGGCATTAAGTAAAAGGGGACCTTGACATTTGTTGACAGTAATGTATGTAAAGGAGGTGGCATATTGAAAAGAAGGGCATTGTAACAAGGTTTTATTGTAAATCATTGTTCATTATATGTTAATATAGAGGACATGTTTTACATCAATTTCCACTTTATATAAGATTTATGAAATAAGGTGGGTTTTTTATTTTAAAAAAAATCATAGAAATATATTTTAAAAAAATATATTCAGAGATCGATTTTCGGAGCATGAACATCGGTTTTTTCCAGTTTTTTTGGGTGCGCAAAATATTCTAGTAGAAGCTTTTTTCCCGATTTTCAGCCTCAAAAAGTACCTGCGCAAATTTCACAGGTGCGCAAATTACATGGGTTTTTACGGTAAGCAAAGATATCCTTTTTTGTCATAGGAATAAGGAGCCAGAGGATGTTCATGGGTTTGTTAAAATAACAGTTATAGATTTCAAGAGTGGAGAGCAGACTTTCTTTTACGCATGAGTAAGTAGGTTCAACCACGAGTGAAACATTAATTATTATTGAAAAAAAATGTAAGCAGCAAGTTAATTATGCAGGTATATACAAACGGGTAGCATGTTCTATATAGATATTACATATATCTACATAGTTGTATTTTTTGTTAGAAGATAAATTTGTCAGCTGCAAATCACAATCTCACACTTCAATTAGCTACTTCACCGCTAGCTAACTTGTTTGAGAGTGTATAGCTTTATTTGAGCAGAGATGTATGTGGCATCAAGTTGTTCACATTTACAGTACAGTAGTTTCATACACAGGGACTTGAGAATTTGTTACAGTAGATATGTTTGGACTTACCCTGATGTGTAGTAAAGAGTAATATTTACAGTTTATTTTGACACAACGTAAACATGTCCCCCTGTGCACACAATCTATGATTTTTTGGATACAGTTGTGGCAAAACATCCATAGCAAAGAATCCATCTTTCTCACCAAAAACAAAAACTGGAATAAACTTCCCTATGAAATTATTTTAGCAGAATACTGTATGTTCTTTCAAAACATAACTGTTAAGCTACTATCATCGGAATCCTGAGGGCAGATAGAGCTTCGGGAACCGTAATATAGTACATACCATCTGTTGTATTGCATCCCAGAAGTTCAAATCTGAAACATGGCTCCCCGGTGGAGTTGAGAACAATAATTCTGACTCGCCTAACGGTCACTTCTTCCATCAATGCAAACGTTTTCACCTCATCATTAGGGAAGTTAGTTAAAAACGTCTCCTGTGAAAACAAAGTGAAGAAACTATTTTACATAAAAACTCAAAATGGATTTTCCTTTTTTTTCCAGACAAAAAAACGTGAGTAGAATGTTCTATTTTCATTCTGTGGCGCGCCCGAGGGGGACGCATTACACTTGCACTACTAGAACGCACGCACCTTTTCCCTACCATTTTTTAGGGGATATTTCACATTAATTAGCATTCTTACGAAAACCTAAAAAAATATGTGTTCCCCTTGATCCTTTCCATTTAGCAAAAAGGTTAAGTATCCCACAATGTTATTAAAATTAGATCTTCGCATCACTCCTGTTTACTGATATGTCGCTTAATTATACATACTGGGTATATCCCAACATCAAATTATACGATGACCGCTCAACAGTGGTACAGTAGTAAACATAGCCTCTAAAAACACCTGTCAAATTTTCAGTACAGTGTGTTTTTTTTTATATATATAGAACTAATAGGTTTATCTTTTCTATATAGTCTTAAAACATGTTACACCTTTGTTCTCTCAATTTTGTAACATGTTAGTCCGCTAAAACTGCGATTGTATGTGTAAGCTTACGACAATTTAATCCTTGCGTGGTCGAGAGAAATGCGATTTGGTTTGTTTAACACTTCATCTCTGCTGGTTGCTTTTGCAGTTCCATGTCAAAAGACGTGAAAAAGCAAAACTGTTAATTCACGACCGTGAAAGAACAAGTCAGCGAAGTTCAAACTGACGCTGATAGGTGGACGGTTGTCCAAAATATATTATAAATCTCACGTCCGTTCACGAGATATTCCCGTGCGTTCAACTTACCGGTACGTCGCCAGTTCCGACGTAGTCCGTGAGGTTCCCGGGGGAAGAGGACGCCAGCTCGAACTGTAAGGAGAAGCCCGTGAGGTAATTTTCCTGTGACGTAAAATTGGTGAATGGTGTCTGAATTGTAACGCCGGACAGGTTATAGGGCCGATCAAAGGTCACCTCAAACCATTCGCCTTCCTGGACAGTGGCCGGACACCATGCCCCGAACGCTGCATCTGCAAATACATGTAAGCAAGAGAGGTTAAATATCATCTCGAAACGCACAAGGCTCGTTCTAAGGAGCACATGTCAAAGGTCAAACATATCGCACCGAAACTTGCAACGAACAGGGATGCGGACAACCCGATCGTGTCGACGTCTTGAAGCACAGGTATTAGCCTCGTCTGCTACGGGTGTTCTGGCAGACGAGCCTAGTACCTGCATGTGCTTGAATCTGGATTTTTTGATACAGTGCCGACAGAATTTCCCGCCAGCTGCAGTCACGGTGGCCTAGAAGATCTACATCTATTGACCTTGTAAGCACAGGGATCTGAGATATTTGGACCTAAACTAAGGTGTTTGAGTAATTTTACACGTTTGGGGATGTAAGACCAATTTTCGGTAAAAATGCCACCCCCAATGATGATAATATACTAATGGTGAATATATATGAGTGTATTATCATCATTGAGGGTGGCTTTTTTTTTTTACCGAAAATCCTCGAAATCCAAGTGGTCAGCTCTCGATACAGAACTCCTTTCTCTGTACCCCTTCAATATGCCATGCTGGTCGGATGGTGCAGTGGATAGCGCGCTTGCCTTTCACCAAGGCGGCCGGGGTTCGATTCCCCGATCGGACGTAAAAAGGTTGGGGTCACCTGCCTGATCACGTGATTTTTCTCCGGGCACTCCGGGATCCGGTTTCCTCCCACACTAAGACCCCCACGCACTAACATCCGGGCCAACAAGAGTGATTGATATAAGTTGAAATAACTTGTTTCATAATTGTTTTTAAATAAATGTAGTTTATATTATATGTCATGCTGGTTACGCGAAACCCTGCGTATGATACGAGTAAACTTTAAACTAGTTTAATGTCTTTAATGGAGATCAAAGGAATTGCGTGGCGGCGTATCAGGACAAGTATCAGCCTAGCCATTGGTCAGTTTTTGTACCTGAAACCGATCAAATTCTTTACCACGTACACGCGCCTACTTTTTCCAAGGGTGCAGAGCAGAAAAACCATGTAATTAACCCTTCCACTTAATGTCAATTTAAATCTGGATATTGTCATTGATATAAATTTACTGCTCATAGGAAATGAAAATCTGTCTGTAGAAGTAAACACTTCAATATGTAGAAATGTGCAAAAGTACATAAAATCCAGCCAAAGTTTTAGTTAATGTGATATGACATTAACTCATCATATTTGTATCTGTTGTATTATTTCATTTAATGTATGAATAAATGGTATTCATTGTGATCAAATTACGCTATTTCTCAATTTATGTAAAATTTATTGTGGAGAGTGCCTTTGTAATGTTGTTATAACTTGTGCCGAATCTGTTTCATTTATGCAATAAAATAAGTTTAAATCGAAATGTCAATCTAAAATTAACTCTTAAATAAATCTTTACGGTAAGCCAATGTAAAACATCGTACAGAGCAGAAGTAAGTAACAAACTAATTAACAAGTCATCAAGGGCAGAGACCTTTCGCACTTGCGCCTGCGCTCATTCTACATGTGGATATTGGGATTTCATTATCGGCTCTCGGCGTAGTGTACATCGAAGATCAACTTTTGTAACACAGCTACCTCCAAATTTATACACTGAAGAAATCAAAACGATATTAGTGCGGTGCTTTTTTCAAGTATGCTGGTTTTAAACCAGTTTTTTGTTAATTATTTGCAATAGTGCTATCTATTTATACACAATTAACAATAATTTTCTTGTCGCTGAGATATTCTGCCCATACATAGGAGGGATAGGGGAAGAAGGGTAGGATATGTAGTTCTGTCAGTAAAATTGCAACCAATGTCATACTTGCAAACACTTTTTAAATTTCCACGGGGGAGATTGCGCGTACGTTGTATTAAAAGCATAAATTAAATGTGTGTATGTACATATGTCATAGGGAAAAATTGACAATAGAAAAATGCTCAATTTTAGAGTCAAATATTGGGAGTCTCCTTCAAAATTAACGGAGAGTTGGCAAGCATGTGCGTGTCCGTATTCCGTTTTCATAAAAAAAATGTAACTAGTTTTATTTAAAAAGTATTTTATTCAATAATCAGACAAGGTATTATTATATACATGTAATTTTAGAGGGACTGGAAAACAAGCTTAGAGCTTATATGTATTCCTCTCTTATATATAAAAGCCCCGCTGAACACTAGCAGACGACCCCTGTTATAAGCAGACGCGTCGACTTTTAATATGCGTGTTATGAAAACATTCCTGTATACTGCAGATAGAAACTGGAGATAATTTTAATCAAGGATTTGTACCTCCAGTGTTGCTGGTCACAACTTTGTGGTGGTTAACTATAAATTGCTTTTATTCAAATTGCTTCTCCAGTGTCGTTTCTTGTATTGCATTTCACTACATCAATCATCGAAATGACGTGGTGAAGTGCTGATGTAGGATAGCTCAGACACGGGCCAAAGCCAGGGTCACACTCTGTCACACTTCAGTACGCAAAATACAACTGTTGGATTGTAGTTTCCAGCCCTTCTATCAAATATTTGAGCACCGCAAGGATTGAAAGCCAAATGGCGTCAGATATTTGAGCACCGCAAGGATTGAAAGCCAAATGGCGTCAAATATTCAATTGTATGATTATGATACCCCTGGAATTTTGATGATGATGATGCATTTTTTTTTGCAGAGAACGTACGTTAGCGTAGCCCATCGAGTTTTAATGATGATGATGGCGACGATGATGATGATGATGATGATGATGATGATGATGCATTAATTATTAATATATATTTGTTATTATTAATTGTACTGTAATCCAGGCCATTAAGTCGCACAACTTACGGAATACAATGATTGAAATATACTTCCATCATCAAATGACTATTCTGTCTACCCATAACATTCTTCTTTAGTGACATCGAGTTCACCTTGACTTACCTTGACAGCAATCAAATCTGGCTTGGTCAAGGTCAAGGTCATTTCTAACTGAAGAAGCAGACAGTTGGTTACGAAGGATGGTACCGTCCCCAAGGCCAGCTGTGGTATTACAGTTTGGGTCTGAAAGAAAAAGAACATTTATTTTATGAGTACAAAGCTATGGCTGACCATTGTCAAAGTTGCAAGTCAGTTTTCTAATGGGCCGTAATGTATTGGTGATGTTTCGCCCCAATCCAATCCCCGAAGCCAGAATTGTCCTACCGAGAAGGGGAAGGTTGTGTCGAATCAAGCGCAACTAACATATATACATGTACTTATTGTATTACGACGAAATGTTGTTATTTTAGGGGTAAAATCGAAGTGTCACGTTTTCTGTCGCGACAACATCAGCGTTATTTGTTTCTTAAATGTTAAATAATTGGACAATTTATGAATCGTGTTTGCTGTTTAATTAAGTATGCATGTACAACAAACCAGCGGAGGTTTTTTTGTATTGAGGCGACTAATGTTGGAACCCTTGCAGGGTTTGGATTCTGGTTAATTTGATTATAGTTGCTGTCGTCTTCACGTAGTATTGTTGCTGTCTTGAAAATGGCTTTGAAGAATCGACAATTAAGAAGATACTTCATACAGATGATTACTGAAGCGATAGTTGATATTGAAGATATCATCTCCGGATACATATAACCTAGTGATATATGCTTGTATGCAGCGATGCAAGACATTAACAAATTCAAAAAAACACGACCAGACGCTAAATACTAACAACATATTGACGTAGGAGTACCGGTGTTTACGTATGAATACAGGGCGTTAAAAGAACTCTTTACAAATGAAGGAAGAATAAAGGCGAGCGATGTAGGTTAAATATTCTCGCGGCATGATTCTTATTTCAATTGCTTGCACGAGGGCTTAAGGGGACTTTCACACCGGGGATGCTTTTACAAAAAAATAGGCGAAATTTATCTTTGTTACGGAAAAAAAAATCGATACAATCTGCAAAAGCACAAATGGCTCTCATGAGTTATATATGTATAAATGAAATCCCTGCGTTTTTACAAACTGAAAATGAGAAGTTATAACAGTTGTCGTAAGCCTTTGATCATCATTAGGAGATCACCGAGTGATATCTGTTGATGTAGTCTAATTGTCAAAAGCATGGTTATATCGGTATTCAATATTCATTTTACCATAATATCAACAGCAATAATTTACAGATAGAGAGATACAGCGAATATAAATGTACTTGAACAGACTCCACATACAAGCCTGAAAAAATGTGTAGAAGTATACACATTGACGTACATTGTAAATGTACTTTTAGAGTTTATGTTGATGTCGCCAAGAACGATGGCTGGTTTTTGTCATTTCGTTATTTCCCGAAAAGACGATAGTTTATAACTTTTGTTTTCTAATAACTTTTAGTTCGGAGCAAAAAAGTGAGATGAATTTTTTGCTTAGATCCTGTTCGTTCGTCTCGTCATGAAAAAACGCCAAATCACATTCGAAACGACGACAAAAAGCATACTTATTAGCGACTTTTAATTTGGGTATAAAATAAATAGTCATTTCGTTGTTTCGTGTTTTTTTCGCAACGAATTTTCTAAATATTCGTGACCCCATATACGAATAGCGACCTCTGACTGTACACAAACTGTCGCGGACCAGTGTCGCTTTAACTTGTAAAAGTCATGATCAGATCAGAGATGTCTATTAAGTGTGGGAGGCTCATATCCAGTCTGTGTGCTGTGTGTGCGTGTCACATCAATTCATGCGTGCCGAAAAGATTAATTCAAGTTTGTTAAGGTCACCACAGGAGACCACAGCGTACATACCACAAGCCTTGAAACTGACGTACGTTGTCGTCAATGATGATTATGGGCCAATATTTTTAAATATTTTTGTCCATTTATTGGGACATATCGAAATTCTTAGAAATGGTAGTTATTTCTTCATTGCTTTATAACGTTCAGCTTTTAGGGCAATCGCTACGACTGTTTTACCCACGCAGTGTCAGTATAATGATACCGGGCGGAATACTGTGCTGTTTGCAATAGTTTCATCTGGCCCTGACACCAGACTTAGACATTTTTACAGGTAGATGTCTGGTGTGGGCCATCTATCTGTCAAAATGTCCAAGTCTGGTGTCGGGGACAGAGAAAACTCGGGCTACGGTGCTGGGTGCCTTCGGCATGGTATTCAAGTGAAGTAGCACTCTAAGTATCATGTCGGCATCAGATCCGCACTATCGCAAGGAGGTAAAAGCGCCAATATACCACATCCAGCATACACGCATACAAATATAAACACAGTGGTACATTCTCAAATTACCGTAGGCGTTGATAGGACGCTAACTCACATAAACCATTCATATACATGTATTTATTCATATCTCGCTTCGAAACATTTGAAGAGCTGTTCTAGAGCAGTCCCTCGACATAAAGCTCATCGTTCTGTCTGTCATCTTCCTTATCATTAAGTACAATGCTTTGACCCATTTCCTGTTTCATAAATATTGATAAATCTCCCTCATCATTTCGCCAAAGCTCCGTAAAGCACCACTTGTTATATCAGTAGTGGCAGTAAAACGAGTTTTTACAAAAGAGAATGATTATAATTAAACCTTGCCAATTCGAAACTTTTGTTTTCTGAACAAAATCTACATGAAACAATATCTATATAACATTGAAAAAGACCAACGTATTCAATCTATAAAACAGCCATTCCATATTAAATTAGTAACTTTTAGTAAAACAACCCCCTTTTATTGGGCTTGCTCCAAATATAATGACTTCCATGATAGATGTCGACCGAGCTGACGGACAACTTACGGTAGAGGGCGTCCAAAGATGTAGGTTGATGGAGGCTACGGACAAGTTGTATGGTCACCCTCAGGATCTCGCAGGGAAATAGGCTATGTTTTGTATTATGCTCATTTGTGTGCCTTGTGGTTTAGTTGCCCGATTTCGAGATGCAAGGACGTGACATTACTTGGATTCAACTAAGATTTACACATGGCGAGTGTCGTTGACGAAGCAGAAGATGCTTACCCTTCCGACACACCTGGTCTTTATACCTTTTCAACGGTCTCCATGTAAATAATTCCTTTTCGTCATATTTTGCCCTATATTTATCGATTTTGAGTTCGAATCATGGTTTTATTAAAACTTCAGTATATTCACCTGTATTTTTATCCTTATTTTATTTTTCTATTTTGCCTTATCATTTTAAAGACTTGAGTTTTTCCGTATACACTACAGGGATTGGAGATATTATGTTACATATTATTCTCACGAACATACATGGCCCTGTGCGGGACAACAACACGACCCTCTTACCTCAAGATATTCAGGTGGTTATCATAGTCAGGCTTGCCTGCATAATACAATGAAGTTTGAGGTATTCGCACAAGGTAATAATGAACAGAAGATCTGTATAGACAGGTGGTGGTAGTTGGAATATATTTCCTTTCGCAAAGCAAACCCAGTTTATGACTTTATGGGTCTCGCTCTGTTAGTGTGATATATGGGATACCGGATTATTCAAGTCTGGAGATTAGCTGGCACAGGCTGTCTTGTTCGTTATTTCACCATTCTTTCATTTCCCTCTTTCTCCTCTATTTTTCTCTATGTCTCTTTTTTTCATTCTTTCGTATCAATTTCATTTCTTTTCAATTTTTTTCTCCATTTGGTCATACCTACATCGAATATTTAATAATAATAATAAAAATTGGAGGTTCTTATATACCGCTTTATCACAACCTAGTTCGTAGGTCGTCTCAAAGCGGTTCACAAACTATTATCCGTGGTTATAGGGCCTTTGCAACCAGCAAATACCTTTTCTCAACTCCCTGGGAAGCATACAGCCGGAGCTGCCATTTCGGCGCTAACAGCTAGCAGCTAGCATTCAACAATTCTAGCACTGTCCAACCACGTACTCATTTACAGCTGAATAGACTGGAACAAGCGGAGTAACGTATCTTGCTCAAAGATATAACACAGTGTCGTGTCGTGACTCGAACACGCAACCCTTCGGTCAAGAGCCCGGCGTCCTACCACTAGACTACCGTGCTTCCATAAAACAAATTGAAACAAATTGAACAGCGTAGACACATCCTCTAGCAAACATTCTCCACCCTGGCATTCTCGTAATTATAATATTTTATTGACGTTTATAAAAACACAGATATCTATCATGGGTGTAACTATATACTCTCCCAAACAGCATTAGTTTCGGTGCGGACTTATGTGACACGCATTGTATCGTCTAACGACCATCTTTTGTGCAGTGTCATTATTCAACACAATATCGATACTTAAAAGTTTTAGACGCAAGTTCTAAAAAGATTAGTTAAACACATGGAGCATGTCTATTATATTGATGTAATGGAGCACATATCCCTGAATAAAGTCGCTAGACAATATACCTCCGCCAATTTCTGTGAAAGGCGTTTCCTAATATTGCAACAAACTCAACTATGACAATAAAGCTGTAAATCACGTCTCAGAAATTACACAGGTCATCTGATGACAGGTCACCAGACTTTTGCTTTTAATTAATGGCTGGGTTTGTTATGGAAATTTACTAGAATATAACGTCATCGGTAATAGGAGATCTTTTAATTTTTACAACGAAAGAAATTTTGATGATAATTCAAAAATAAAAATCATCCGGAACTCCTTGGAGGTCACATATTTTACACTATTGACGTAAACATTAATATGAATTCATTCGGAACTTCTTGGAGGTTACCTATTTTGACGTATATTGCTGCCATCAAAATTTCTTTCAGGAATTTGAAGTTACTGGTTCTAAATTACATATGTCCAGTAAGTAAATTTGATTAAAAGTCCAAGTCGTATATAAAGTTGCATCACTGAGAAGTACAGATATGACAAGGCATGCAAGTTCACATTTTTTTGTATACGACACAAAGATGGAAACACACTTCGTAAGATATAATATATCTGCTATGTTTGATAAGATGTCTCATATAGTTTATAGGGTATCTTATAAAATAAATCTTGATTTTAAGGATCCCAGACCACTGCCAAAAACTGTGACCACGCATTGGAAACTTGTGTACTAGCAGGCATGGCAATAGTTCCATTATATTATTT